AATGTTTTAAATAAATAAATAATATGACAATATAATGGTATAGTACAATATAGTAATATGTCATACTGATATTGTACTATGCTAATAATATAATATATTGTATGTATATATATCTTGTAAGGTGCTTTGAGTCCCCTTCTGGGTGAGAAGAGCGGCATAGAAATGTCGTAAATAAATAAATAATGTCATATTGTTGTTCTTGTTGTTATTATTATTATTATTATTATAAGCTTGCATATCTCTTCGGCAAGGAGGGCAGTGTATTTAAGGTCTTGCATTGCGCATGGACCTACCTTTCCACCTGTTCATTATAAGTCACCAGAAAGCAATGTTTTCAAGGGGCCTTGGGGTGATAAATGGGTGTGCTGACTGATGACTCTTGGCTTTATCTCGCTTTCTTTCTGTGCAAACCGCCCCAAAGAGTGTGTTGTGTGGAGCCTAAAATGCCTAGATAAGAGGGAGCTGATGTCATGTTTCAGCAACGGGAAGGGGAGAGGGAGGTGTTCCCAGAGTTGCATCATCAGCGCATTGAGCAACCCAGCCCTTCTCTGGCTATTTTTAGCGCTGGCTTTGCGTTTGGCAAGGGAATGCAGCCCACCATTGGGATGGGAGAGGGGTGACATCAGGGGGTTTCATTCAACCGCTTAAGAGGCCGATTCCGCTGAGTGACACACCTGTGGTTTGAGGTCAGTGTTTCTCAACCTTCCTAATGCCATGACCCCTTAATCCAGTTTCTGGTTTTGTGGTGATCCCCAACCATAAAATTATTTTCATTGCTATTTCATAATTGTAATTTTGCTACTGCTATGAATCGCATCATGCTGGCCACATGACCTTGGAGCTGTCTATGGACAACGCCGGCTCCTTGGCTTAGAAATGGAGATCAGCACCACCACCCAGAGTCGGACACGGCTGGACTTAATGTCAGGGGAAGCCCTTTACCGTAATCTACGCTTTTAGACCAGTGTTTCTCAACCTTCCTAATGCCGTGACCCCTTAATGCAGTCCCACATGTTGTGGTGACCCCCAACCATCACATTATTTTTGTTGCTACTTCATAACTGTCATTTTGCTTCTGTTATGATTCGTAACATAAATATCTGATATGCAAGATGTATTTTCATTCACTGGACCACATTTGGCACAAATACCCCATACGGCCAACTCTGAATACTGGAGGGGTTGGGAGGATTGATTTTGTCATTTGGGAGTTGTAGTTGTTGGGATTTATAGTTCACCTACAATCAAAGAGCATTCTGAACTCCACCAATGATGGAATTGAACCAATCTTAGCACACAGAACTCCCAAGTCCAACAGAAAATACTGGAAGGGTCTGGTGGGCATGAACTTTGAGTTTGGGAGTTGTAGTTCACCTACATCCAGAGAGCACTGTGGACTCAAACAATGATGGATCTGGACCAAACTTGGCACGAATACTCAATATGCCCAAACATGAACACTGGTGGAGTTTGGGGGAAATAGACCTTGACATTTGGGAGTTGTAGTTGCTGGGATATATAGTTCACCTGCAATCAAAGAGCAATCGGAACCCCACTAACAATAGAATTGGGCCAAACTTCCCACACAGAACCCCCATGACCAACAGGAAATACTGTGTTTTCTGATGTTGTTTGTCGACCCCTCTGACACCCCCTCGCAACCCCCCCCCCCCGAGGTCCCAACTCCTAGGTTGAGAAATGCTGTTTAAGATTATCCCTTAAACACCAGCAATCTCACAAAGTCATTTCTAGTAAAGTCTTAGTTGTTGCACATGACTTGGGAGATTTTTTGCAGCCTGTGATGCTGTTGCTTTCAAGTGCAACTTGTCTTAAAGTGAAATCTCTGCCTGCGATGCTTGAACAAACACTTCCTTTGGGAGGTCAGCTTTGTTTTTGTTGGAATGAAGTCTGGAGCGTTGGAAAGAAAAGCTCTGTTGAGAAAAGAGGCAAGTGTGGCGCTCTTGAAATAGGGATGGATTTGTGATTATGTTTTAAAAACATTATCTAAGCCTCCTGCTGAACTTTAGCTCGGTCTTCTTGCAAGACAAGGCTTCAAAACCGCTGCAGGAGGAAGTGATGCTACGTTGCCAACTGCAACCAGGCAGAGCCTTTTCTGGCTGCTGAGTCATGCACGCTGGGTTCAAAAAGGGGCCAAGGAAGGGTGCGGGGAGGGACACAGGAAAGATTCACAGTTCTGGGTTCTCATGGATGTAAACCCGGCATGGGCAAACTTCGGCCCTCCCAGTGTTTTGAACTTCAACTCCACCAGTGTCCACATTTGGGTAAAATGAGTATTCGTGCCAAGTTTGATCCATGCCTGGGATAGATCCTGTACGGAAAGACCAAAGGGTACCGACCCATTTCAAACTGGCATCAGAGCAGGATGTGGAGTTGAGACTGATAGGATGGCCTTAGTGGATGATCTCTGTCTTGACAATGAAAAGGGGTGTGGATCTCTGTCGATGCTTCTAGACCAGTGTTTCTCAACCTGGGGGTTGGGAACTCTGGGGAGGGGGATTGAGGGGGGGGGGCAAACACCATCAGAAAACACTGTATTTTCTGTTGGTCATGGGGTTCTGTGTGCCGAGTTTGGTTCAATTCTATCGTTGGTAGAGTTCAGAATGCTCTTTGATTGTAGGTGAACTATACATCCCAGCAACTGCAACTCCCAAATGACAAAATCAATCTACCCACCCACCCACCAGTGTTCACATTTGGCCATATTAAGTATTAGTGCCAAGTTTGGTCCAGATCTATCATTGTTTGAGTCCACAGTGCTCTCTGGAGGTAGGTGAACTTCAACTTCAAAACTCAAGGTCAATGGAAGTAGGAACAAAAATAATGTTATGGTTTGGGGATCCCACAACATGAGGAACTGTATGAAGGGGCCTCGGCATTAGGAAGGCCGAGAAACACTGGTATATTTATACTGCTTTTGGGGAAGGGTAGAATACAGTTGTTGATGTGGTCAGTGGACGAATCAATAAACTTTGCTACACATGGTAGAATGCAGTAGCGTCCAGGAAGGCACAAGTTATTTCCATTGCCCTTAAGTTTCAAAAGCTGGGCAAAGTGACATTTCAGGCCTTTCAGACTTTTGCAGTGGTGAGTTATTGTTGATGAGTGCATGAGTTTGGCAGCTGACGGGGGGAAAGGAATGGTGGGAGTTGAAGTCCAAAGCACCTCGGAGGGCTGAAGTTTGCCCCTGCGTGCGCTGTACTTAGGCAAGTCCCCAAAAGATGAATGGGGAGCTAAATCCGGTGCTTTCCGTGGTGGTAGTTTTCGAAGAAGCAGCTGTGTTACCTCTTGCAGCGGAAAAAGGCAAAGGAAGGGAGAGACAAAAGAGAACGCCTTAAAGCCACATTTCTTTCTTTCTTTCTTTCTTTCTTTCTTTCTTTCTTTCTTTCTTTCTTTCTTTCTCTCTCTCTCTCTCTCTCTCTCTGGTTCCACGCCAGCCTGTTCCATCCAGTTTGCTCCAGCCTTCTCCTGACATAAAAGTTCAAAAGTGGGCAGCCAAGGAGAGAATCCATTTGCATTTCATGGCTCCTGATGTTTCCTTTCCTCTTCTTGGCACCACGCTGCATGAGTCATTCTAGAAACATTCCCCGGGAACTTTGGATCCAGGAGGCACAAAAGAAAGGTGCCGGAGGAAGTGTTGTTGAGCATTGCTTTGCAATGGAGAAGAAGGGGAAATTCTCACGATCACTTCTTTACCCATTGAACTGGTTGCCAGCTGGACTACCAAGATGTCTCTGGCTTTCTACTCTTGAGGTGCAGGGAGGCTCAAGCGCTGTCTGTCCAAGAGATTGCTCTCCTTGGCTATGTGTCTTTCTGACTTACGCCTACTCTCGGAGCCTCGTTGGCGGAGTGGGTTAGTAATGTTAGGAAATAATGTTATGGCGGGGGTCACCACAACATGAGGAACTCTGTTAAAGGGTCACGGCATTAGGAAGGTTGAGAAACACTGAATTATAGGATAGTACATAAAGATGGGAAGAAATAGAGTCGTTGGATCTAACTCCTCTTTCCACGAATTAAACCTTAGGGCAGGTACTTATTTATCAAATGCAAAGAGAACCCCTGGAAGCTGGGAAATGTCCATGGAGACGGGAAGACAGCTATTTGTTTAAACGGGGCATGGGCAAACTTCGGCCCTCTGGGTGTTTTGGACTTCAACTCTCACAATTCCTACCATGGTTTAAATCCAGGGCTTAAGGTTCTTCATTCCATTTTGCCATAGACCAGTCGTTCTCAACCTTCCTCATGCTGTGACCCCTTAATATGTTGTGGTGACCCCCAACCATCACATTATTTTCTTTGCTACTTCACAACTATAATTTTCTCCTGTTATGAATCATCTTGTAAATATCCAATATGCAGGATGTATTTTCATTCATTTAGCACAAATACTCGACATGCCCAAATTTGAATACTGGTGGGGTTGAGGGGAGGATTGATTTTGTCATTTGGGAGTTGTAGTTGCTGGGATTTATAGTTCAGCTACAATATCAAAGACCATTCTGAACTCCACCAATGAGGCAATTGAACCAAACTTTGGACACAGAGCTCCCATGACCAACAACAAATTCTGGAAGATTGTGGTGGGCATTGACCTTGGGTTTTGGAGTTATAGTTTACCTACATCCAGAGAGCACTGATGCATATGGACCAAACTTGGCATGAATACTCAATGTGACCAAATGTGGACACTGGTGCAGTTTGGGGAAGATAGACCTTGACATTTGGGAGATGTAGTGCCTGGGATTTATAGTTCACCTATAATCAAAGAGCATTCTGAACTCCACCAATGATAGAACTGGGCCAAACTTCCCACACGGAACCCCCACGACCAACAGAAAATACTGTGTTTTCTAATTGTCTTTGGCGACCCCTCTGACACCCCCTTGCGACCCCCCCCAGGGGTCCCGACCTCCAGGTTGGGAAACACTGCCACAGACAGAGGCTAAAGCGACTCCTTCCTTCCTTGTCTATCTTATCAGCGCGAAGTCTCCGGTGTTGCTATCGTACGGAGCCCAGAGGACTCTCCTCCTGCCGCCTTGGGAGAGGCTGAGGAGTCAAGCGAGTTCTACCTGCATGAAGGACAGCGATGCAAGAAATGTCCTCCAGGTACTGAATCGCCAGGATGATGCCATACCCGCTCCCTGCATTTGAACCATCGACCTTTCGGTCTGCAAGTTCAGCAGCTCAGCGGTTTTATCTGCTGCGCCATTGGAGGCTACATACATAAATATTAAGCATTAAAGCCGCTGGTGGCGCTCCATGCAGTCATGCCAGTGACCACATGACCTTGGAGGTGTCTACGGACAATGCCGGCTCTTTGGCTTAGAAATGGAGATGAGCACCAACCCCGAAAGTCGGACACGACTGGACTTCATGTCAGGGGAAAACCTTTACCTTTACTAAGCATTCAAAACATTTAAAACCAATTACAATTATTGTGGAGACTGATATAACTTAGTGATATGACCCAAATCTAAACATGAAATTCATATGTGTTTTATATTCACTATATCAACATACCTGTAACGTGGTTTTATATTCCTAATTGTGTGCGTAAAAGAAAATTTGTGTACATTTAAACATCAGAAAGCAAATATTTCCCTGTCATAGCCATGCGTGTTGCTGATTTTGGAATATTTTTGATTTGCAGATGAATAAATGCTTTAATTTCTGTTTTGCCTTACAGGTTCTCGAGTCGACCAACATTGCACTTCGGATAACAAAACGACTTGCCATCCCTGTAATACGGATACATTTAGCAAACACTCGAATCCACTGTCAAAGTGCTTTTCTTGTAAAACCTGCAGACGTTTAGGTAAGGGTTGTTGGATATGTTTGTGCTCCAGCTGTGGAGAAAGTAACCTTGTTCACTGCTGAAAACAGACTGCAGTGGGATCTTGGTCTCCGCCAGGGTTTGATTCCGGGGCCCCATAGATACCAAAACCAGTGGATTTTCAGGTCCCATTATCTATGTCTCCTGTATAAAATGGCAACGTCAACAGTAGGGTTTTGTGTTGCTGTCTAGCCATGAATGGTTGAATCTGGAGGGCAGATTGTACAATTGCAGTACAAAAAAGGTTTGCAATGAACTACACAGTAATAAGAGAGTGCCAAACAGATAATGTAAAGTTTTCTGGACTGTCTGGCCATGTTCCAGAAGCATTCTCTCCTGACGTTTCGCTTGCATCATTGGCAGGCATCCTCAGAGGTTGTGAGGCACTGCGCCCAGTGTGCCAATCACCACTGCGACCACCTTTACTGGCTTGTGCCAGAGCCTTTGCAGTTTGATCTTTAAGGCCTCGTATCATGAAGATACTCGGCGCTGACAAAATTACCATCTGTCAGCTACAAAAGGATCTGCATGCATTATTCGCCGATACATCACACGTCGGGAAGTGTCTGACATGTGATCCAATACAACAGCCAGCAGTGTGATCTTGTTTGCTGTGCACTCATCTTGTTGTGTTATTATTATTATTATTATCAATAATAATAATAACAATAATAATAATAATAATAATAATAATAATAATAATAATAATAAATCACACAGTCCTAGACACTTGGGAAGTGTCCGACGTGTGATCCAATACAACAGCAAGCATAGGGATCTTGTTTGCTGTGTACTCATCTTGCTGTGTTAATAATAATAATAATAATAATAATAATAATAACAACAACAACAACAACAATAATAATCCAATTCAACAGCCAGCAGAGTGTCTGCTGTGGACTCATCTTGTTGTCATAATAATAATAGTAATAATAATAACAACAACAACAACAACAACAATAATATAAAATAATAGCCATGTATCTCAGAACATTGTGCTGCTGTGACTCAATTATCATTGACTTCAGCATTTCATTCTGTTCCTTCTTCTTGAAAGTAACTTTCCAAGCTCTTATTCTGTTACACTGGAGTTACTAGAATGCATAATTTCATACATGTAACAAATACTTCATAGGATTTGCAGGGACTATTGTTTTGTGGAAGGAATGAAATGAAATTCATATATCTGACTTTTTTTCCAGATGAGGTGGAGCTCCAGCCGTGCACCACAACCAGCGACACGGAATGCGCCTGTAAAAACGGCACCTTCTGCTTGCCCAGCTTTCCGTGTGAAACATGCCATAAGTGTACACCCAGGTCAGTACTGCATTCCAAGTTCTCCAATCTGGGTATCCACCCATTTATTTTGAATTCGTGTTCCCTTTACTAAGATACTGCTTTGTACGAGTTTGGGGGAGAATTTCACAATTTTTGGTACATCTAGGTTAGTCGGGTTGGACCGCTGGCTGGTTCACAGCATTACTTTCCCTGCTGCTTTCTCCCTCATAGATGCCCCGAAGGAGAACAGGTGGTGCAGCCTTGCACCCCTACAAGCGACATAGAGTGTGCACCCTATACCACCTCTCCACCTCCTCCAACAGGTAAGAGCGGAGCTTGTGTGCGAGAGCGAGTTATCCAAGACCTTAAGGCTGAGCCTCTGCAAAATAATGCATTGTGGGCATTATGTTCAGGTTTCCAGCCATGTCCCTCGTATCATTCCTCCATTCATAGAATCCTAGAGTTGGAAGAGACCTCGTGGGCCATCCAGCCCAACCCCATGTTGCTAAGTTCTTGAGTTTGGAGTAGAGCAACGGCTTTGGGAGATGGTGGTCGGGTATCCAGACAACGTGGAGGAACATCGCTTCAGTTGTTGTGGTCTTTGCTTCTTCCAGCACGCTGACATTTCCCCGCTTGTCTTCCCAAGAGATTTGCAGGATTTTTCAGAGGCAGCACTGATGAAATAGTTCCAGGAGTTGTGTATGACGTCTGTAGACAGTCCACGTTTTGCAGGCGTATAATAACAATAATAACAACAACAATAATAATAATAATCTTTGTTTAATACCCGACCACCATCTCCCCAATGGGGACTTGGGGCAGCTTAATGAGGCCAAGCCCAACAGAATATTACAACAAAGTAAAACCAACAACACAGTAACAACAAAGTAAAATACATACAACATATGAGTACAAAGACGATAAAGAAAAATCATACGCAGTAAAATAAAATAACAATGAGCAGGCCGCATGTGCAAAATAAAACTAAAATACTAAAATCAGGATGAGACAGGGATGGAGCAGATTGTTTGTGGGGGAGAAACTCGTAAGGAACGGGGTCATAAATAGAGACCTTCATCCAGGTGGGGAAATAGACTCTGGGGACAAAATCTGTTGAGGGGGAGCAACTGAGTATGATAATATGGGTGCTTTCCAAAAGCACATTGGAAAAGCCAGGTTTTGAGATCCCTCTTGGAAGTTTCTAAGGTGGGGGCCTTCCTAATCTCACCGGGCAATGAGTTCCAGAGTTGGGGGGCCACAGAGGAGAAGGCTCTCTCCCTTGTGCTTACAAGACGAGCCTGTGGTAATGGCAAGGGCGAAAGGAGAGCCTCCCCCGAGGATCTAAGAGCTCGGGCTGGTTTATGGAGAGAGATCCGGTCACAAAGTTAAGCGGGTCCCAAACCGTTTAGGGCTTTGTAGGTGAGAAGCTGCACCTTGAATTGGGACCGGAAGACAAACAGCAGCCAGTGAAGCTCCTTAAACAGGGGAGTTGACCTTTCCCTGTTAATCACCCCAGGGTTGGAAGGGGAATGGCTTCATCAACAAGCCCCTTGGCCTCCCTACGGATGTCCCGGTCCTCAAACACTCTCTGCTTCATTTGGAAGAATGCTGCACTTGCAGAGCCCAGGTGGTGTTGTATTTCAGAGTCAAAGTTGACTTTGGTGGCGCGGTGGCTGCCAGGGGAGCGGAAATAGTTAACGTTTTCTAATGTTACACCATTAAGCTGTATCTCTGGCATTGGAGAGGGATTGGCTGGTGACTTTTGCTGGAAGAGCACTTTGGTTTTCTCGATGTTCAGTGAGAGGCCGAGCTTCTCGTCTGCTTCTGTGAAGGTGTTGAGAGTGGCTTGTAGGTCTTCTTCTGAATGCACACAGACAACGTTGTCATCAGCATACTAGAGTTCTATAACAGATGTTGTTGTGACCTTGGTTTTGTGCATGTATAACGTTGGTTTGGCTATTGAAGAATCCAAAGTTGGTGAATTGGTTTTACTGTTATTACACAGGATGAAGGCGAGTGACACAGATTCGGAGTAAAAGGGCACATGGATGTTGTGTTGGGGGCAGAGGGGAGAGACGTGAAATCCGGATCGTCACATATGCACGTACAGTATATACTATTGTCTCTTCCCCCACAGGACGTTCCCATGAAGTTGCTATGTGGACTTTGATTGGTCTTCTTCTTCTTCTATTGCTGTTCGTGGTGCCAGGAATGTGCTGGAAGTTTGGTTGCTGTAACGGAGGTGAGAGTGACGTCCTACTCTTCTATAAAGGCCAAGTTTGCAAAAGAAATTAGAGCCCTAGCAGGTAGCTTTTGCCTTCCAAATATTTTGGACTCTCATACCCAGAATGCCTTAGCCTTTGTCAGGCTGTCCTCCTACATCGAGAGGGACAGAAGCTCCCCACTGTGGAAAGCCCCTTCTCTTTGTGAAGGGAGTGGGGGGGGGTAGACCATTTGAGGCCCCAAAATACGTGTCGTCAGGGAGGAATATGCTTGAAAATGGGCAACTGTTGTGCCTCCTGGAAGCTTGTGAAAGGGCGTGGCTCTCTGAATTGGGGCAGAGTTTCACGCGGTGGTTCACGGGCTTTAACCCAGCCTTCAATGGAGATCCTCGCAGTCTCTCTCCCGCACTGCTGACTTGATCCGTGTTGGTTGAGCTCCGTCACATGCGTGCATTTTCCCTCTTGAAACCCCTGGGAAAACCTAACCCATTGTGTACTTTGTGCTTAAAAGAGTGAGAATTTCCTTCCCAAGCAAAATTAATTTTGCAAAGTGAATAAATGCACACAATTCATCCTACTTGGCATTATTCCATTTCTTGGGCTTTTTGTCACTACTTGACATACTTTCTTTTGGGCTGCTGTGAGTTTTCCGGGCTGTCTGGCCCTGTTCCAGAAGCATTCTCGCCTGACGTTCCTATGGCAGGCATCCTCAGAGGAAGTACACATAGTATGTAGGATTGAATATTTACTACGTGTGTTGTTGAAGGCTTTCATGGCCGGAATCACTGGGTTGCTGTGAGTTTTCCAGGCTGTATGGCCATGTTCCAGAAGCATTCTCTCCTGACGTTTGGCCCACATCTATGGCAGGCATCCTCAGAGGCTGCGAGGTCTGTTGGAATATCCAGGGTGGGAGAAGGAACTCTTGTCTCTTTCAGGCAAGTGTGAATGTTGTAATTGGCCAGCTTGATTAGCATTGAATGGCCTTGCAGCTTCAAAGCCTGGCTGCTTCCTGCCTGGGGGATCCTTTGTTGAGAGGTGATTAGCTGGCCCTGATTGTTTCCTGTCTGGAATTCTCCTGTTTTTTGAGTGTTTCTCTTTATTTACTTGCCTGATTTTTAGAGTTTTTTAAATACTGGTAGGAAGATTTGGTTCATTTTCATGGTTTCATGGAGGAATCCTATGTTGGGAGGTGTCCATTATTGTTGTTGTTTTTATTAATGTATACATATACATATATCTGTGGAATGATGTCCAGGGTGGGAGAAAGAACTCTTGTCCGCTTGAGGCAAGTGTAAATGTTGCAATTGGCCAGTTTGAGTAGCATTGAATAGACTTGCAGTTTCAAAGCCTGGCTGCTTCCAGCCTGGGGGATCCTTTGTTGGGAGGTGTTAGCTGGCCCTGATGGTTTCCTGTCTCGAATCCCTCTGTTTCTGAGTGTTGTTCTTTATTTACTGTCCTGATTTTTAGAGTTTTTTTAAATACTGGTGGCCAGATTTGGTTCATTTTCATGGTTTCCTCCTTTCTGTTGAAATCGTCCACATGTTTGTGGGTTTTGGTGGCTTCTCTGTATCTTCTGACATGGTCGTTGTTAAGAGTGTATTAAAAAAAAACTCCAATTGAAGCTTGTTGGATTTTCCCTTCTTGCCAAAACCTGTTGGTTAGAATGTGTTCCTTGCCATATAATGCAAAAGGAAGCAGGAATCTTGACCAGAACTTTTTAAAGAAGCGGGGAATCAAAACTGGACACAAACATGATGGATATCCAGTTTTTTTGAGTTCCTGGTGATGATTGAGAAGTGGCAACCTTCATTCTTGGATAGTCATTTAGCTTTTGGGCACTTCAATACATGGTAAAGAGATGTAAGTTTATCTAAAAAGTAAATCACGACCAGGACTTTGCAGAGAAAACTTGCCAATGTATCACGTTTTTGTCTTGCAGCCAAGGCGAGGGGAGTTACGGCAGTCTTGTGGCGCTCCAAGGTAAGGTTGGCTTCCTTCTCTGAAGGCGTGAGGAACGGGGGAGCGGCTCCATGGTCCAAGCTCTGGGAATCAGAGTAACACCAGAGCAACTGCCTCAGATCATGTCCGCTACTCCACTCGCTCGTCAGTTTTTCAGCTCTTTTTGTTAGGCTGAAAAAGCCCCCCTCAACTTACACTCAAGTCAAAGTTATTTATTACCTTACTGGGTTATTATTAATTATTACATTTATTATTTTACTCTATTTTCTATTTTTATTACTTTTACCCTTCTTTTACTCTATTATTATTATTATTATTATTATTATTATTATTACCTTTATTATTTTTCTCTCTTTATTACATTTATTGTTTTATTCTATTTTCTATTTTTATTACTTTTTTAACTCTATTTTCTATTTTTATTACTTTTACCCTTATTTTACCCTATTATTATTATTATTATTATTATTATTATTACATCTATTATTTTTCTCTCTTTATTACATTTATTATTTTACTCTATTTATTGATATTATTATTATTGCATGTATTATTTTACTCTATTTTATTACATTTAATATTTTACACTATTATTATTATTACATTTATTTTACTCTATTATTATTGTTACTATTACATTTTCTTATTTTACCCTAATTATTTTTATTATATTTATTATTTTATTCTATTATTATAGTTACTCTTACATTTACATTATTTTATTCTATTATTACATTTCCATTACGTTACTCGATTATTTTGTTATTATTATTGCATTTATTTTACTCTATTATTACATTTATTATTTTTCTCAATTTATTATTGTTATTATTACATTTATATTTCTTACTGTTTCATTATTGTTTTTATTATATTTATCATTTTACTCTATTATTATTACAGTTATAATTTTACTCTATTATTACTGTTATTATTACATTTCCATTATTTTACTCTATTATTATTTTTATTACACTTATTATTTTACTCTCATTATTATTGGAAGGATACGTAAGCACATTCACATTGAAGAAGGTCAGAATAATGGTTTAATCAGAGTTGGGCAGTCTTTATCTTAAATTATAGCTTAATGTAAATATTAAAAAGATTTAACCTATGGATGCCTCAATTAATGTAATTTTATTGCTATCTATTTTTAGATATTTCCCACCCTCAGCTTATATTCGAGTCAATACGTTTTCCCAGTTTTTTGTGGCAAAATTAGGTGCCTTGACTTATATTCGATAATTCTGAATTGACTAAATGGAGTCTGTCTCTGTGGTCTAGGAAAGAGCAGGATGCTGAGATGTGGATTGGAAGGTCTGCATCGTCCTCGTGCGTTCCAAGAATGGCATTTCCTCCCTGTTTTGAAATTTAGCCCCATTACAGCGTGTCTTCATGGATTGCACCTGTGCAAATAAAAACCTGGATCTTACCCTTACTCTAGGAAGGGAAGGGTTGGCATTTAGATATTCTTTACAGGCAAGGGAATAGAAACGTAAATAAAGAACTTGCCTGCCCGAGCAGGGTCTAATTCAGTGGGAAAGCATTATTATACAGTATATTCTGGCGTATAAGACTACTTTTTAACCCAAGAAAATCTTCTCAAAAATCAGGGGTCGTCTTATACGCGGGTGTAGTCTTATGCATGGGAGTCGTCTTAATCTCTATATTTTAACTGGAAAAGTTGGGGGTCGTCTTATACACCCAGTCGTCTTATATGCCGGAATATACGGTAAGTCAACTCTAGAGCGCTTTAAAGGTGGCAAAGGAGAGTTAGAGGCAACAACATAGGAAGGTCAGCAGCTTCCTTTTCGGGACTGAAATATATTTTGAATTTTATTTCCAGACTCTGCAGTGTCTCCAGAGGAATTGCAGCCAAGGGCGCCACGAAGAGGGGGACAACCTGCGGAACATGCGCCGCGAATCCCGCCCTCCTTTGCAGAGCTGTGCCCCTCCCTCTCCAAAACCGCTTGAGATGACCCCTCTGCAGGCGGCCGCCCCCCCAGGAGAGGTAACAACGCCCACCTTGAGAAAAACTGTTATTTTGCCTGGGCCGAAAGCAGGCCCCAAGATCTCCTGAAGCGGAGTGGCAAGGGCAGCTCCAAACCGGGGACAACATCTCTTAAAAGATGAGAAAGAAACTATTGCAGAACCTTTGTTTTCTTCCAGAACAGCATTTCTCAACCTGGGGGTTTCAGAGGGCTCGCCAAAGGCCCCCAGAAAACATATTTCTAGCTAGCCGACCCTGCCACACGTTGATGTGGCCCAGTCTGTGTATATGGGTTTTGTGTTTGTATATATATGGTTTTACACATGTGTTGTTATGTTTATGTATATATGTGGTTTTGCATATGCGTTGTAATGTATTTTTTTTGGCTTTTAAAGTCCCTTCCGCTGTGTTTTTCAGTGTTTTTATGAGTGATGGTCACTCGTTGGCTCGATAGGTGTCTTATGTCCAAATTTGGTGTGAATTCGTCCAGTGCTTTTTGAGTTATGTTAATCCCACAAACGAACATTACATTTTTATTTATACAAATATTTTGGTGTACTGCAAACCACTAGATTGTCAAAAATGTCACCACTGACATCAAGGTCAATGCCCATGAAACCCTGCCAGTATTTTCTCTTGATCGTGGGAGTTCTGTGTGCCAAGTTTGGATCAGTTCCATCGTTGGTGGGGATCAGAATGCTCCTTGATTGCAGGTGAACTATAAATCCCAGCAACTACAACTCCCAAATGACAAAATCAGCCCCCCCCCCCCATCACAACACTATTCAAATGTGGGCGTATGGGGTATTTGTTCCAAATTTGCTCCAGTGAAGAGAAATACATCCTGCTTATCAGATATTTACATTACGATTCATAACAGTAGCAGAATTCATGAAGTAGCAACGAAAATAATGTTATGTTTGGGGGTCACCACAACAGGAGGAAGGGTATTAAGGGGTCGTGGCATTAGGAAGGTTGAGAAATACATTCTGGAATGTTTCCACCAGTCATCCTAGTAATATATGTGCCTTGATTGTGTTTTAATTTATGGCAGGAATCCCACGGATGTGCAGCAGAGAGGAAGAGGCATCTCCTTCCTGTCAAGGGCAAAGACCCTCTAGAGGGTAAGTGTCCAAGGAATGCCTTGAACCCACACCGTCCTTCATAATATATCGTGTGATGCAAACAGAAGTGGAATCTACACCAGAACGTAGCAGAACATTCTCACGTGTGTCTGACTTGCTTGTCCTTCTGTGGGATACTCCATTCTGCTCATCACCTGTTTGTTTCTCTCTTCAAAGCATTGTCCAACATTTCATAGTAGTTACTTCTTAGGTAAAGGTCAAGGTTTTCCCCTGGCATTAAGTCCAGTCGTGTCCGACTCTGGGACTCTGGTGCTCATCCCCATTTCTAAGCCAAAGAGCCGGCGTTGTCTGTAGACACCACTGGCATGACTGCATGGAGCACCGTTACCTTCCCAATGGAGCAGTACCTATTGATCTACTCACATTTACATGTTTTCAAACTGCTAGGTTGGCAGAAGCTGGGTCCAACAGCGGGAGCTTGCTTTGCTCCCCAGATTTGAACTGCCCACCATTCGGTCAGCAAGTTCAGCAGTTCACCCGTATAATCATCATCATCATTTTTATTTATACCCCGCCACCATCTCCCCGAAGGGGACTCGGGGCGGCTAACATGAGGCCAGGAGACCTTCTTAATTATTAGCAAATTATTAGCGAAGGCAGTAAACTGAGCTTCCAGGTACGAACGGCCCTCATTAGATTCTTCTCCTTGTTGCAAATTGAGGTGGGGATACTACTGCAAAAAATTATTGGGTGTGTACCCTCGAGATTATTATTTATTATTCCTGGCATCGGGTCCAAGCCCCAGTTTTGTGCTGCCATGGCCTCAGGAGCCCCGGGTAGCGAAGCGGGTTAAACCACTGAACTTGATGACCAAAAGGTCAGTGTTTCAAATAATAATAAAAATAAATAATAAAATCTTTATTTATATTCCACCCTATCCCCCCAAGGGAGACTCATGGCAGATCCAGAGAGCAGGGTGAGCTCCTGCTGTTAGCCCCAGCTTCTGTCAACCTAGCAGTTCGAAAACATGCACATGTGAGTAGATCAATAGGTACCACTCCAGCGGGAAGGCAGCGGTGCTCCATGCAGTCATGCTGGTCAGATGACCTTGGAGGTGTCTACGGACAACGCCGGCTCATTGGCTTAGAAATGGAGATGAGCACCAACCCCCAGAGTTGGAAACAACTAGACTTAATGGCAAGGGGAAACCTTTACCTTATGCCCTCAGGACTCCTTATCTCGACTTGTGCCAGTTCCTCAGCCAAGCTTCTCCCACCTCCTGAGTCCACAATATTACTCTCCTTCAGTAACAGCCCTTTGGTGTTAATTAGCCAGTCCTTCAGCTCAGCAGGCAGGGGAATTCCAGACAAGAAACAATCAGGGCCAGTTAATGTCTCACAACAAAGGATTCCCCCAGGCAGGAAGCAGCCAGACTTTGAAGCTGCAAGGCCATTGAATGCTAATCAAGGTGGTTAATTGCAACATGCACACTTGCCTCAAGCAAACAAGAGTTCTTTTTCCCACCCTGGACATTCCACAGATATATATAGATAGATCCATAGAGATATATAAACTCCACTTGCTTAGTTTCCAACAGAGCTCACAACCTCTGAGGATGCCTGCCATAGATATGGGCAAAACGTCAGGAGAGAATGCTTCTGGAACATAACTCAGTTTCACCTGATTGCTTGCATTGACCACATTGTATGCAGACTGAAACCCCCTAAAATCTGGACAGCAAATTAAGCACAACACTCAAGAAACAGGGGAATTCTATCAGGGCCAGCTATCACCTCTGAATAAAGGATTCCCCCAGGCAGGAAGCAGCCACACCTTGAAGCTGCAAGGCCATTGTGGTTAATTGCAACATTCACACTTACCTCAGGCAGGCAGGCAAGAGTTCTTTCTCCCACCCTGGACACAGGTATATAAACCCCACTTAACTAGTTTCCAACAGGCCTCGCAACCTCTGAAGATGCCTGCCGTAGATGTGGGCGAAACGTCAGGAGAGAATGCTTCTGGAACATAGCCAGATAGCCCCGAAAACTCACAGCAACCCTATGTATTTTTACCCCTTTCTCTTCCCCACAATTGGCAGAAGTCTTTTTATTCCCAGGCGGCCCGACTTGTGTCTCTTTTTCTTTCTTTCCAGCCCTGCGGGAGTCTTTTTACACCTTCATCAACGAGGTCCCTCCGGAATATTGGTTCAGGTACGTGAGAGCCCTCGGCCTAAGCGAATTCGACATTTGTGCCGCCGAGCAGAACAATAAGGGTTTGTACGAGAGGCGCTTCCAGATGCTCCGGACCTGGCTGGACAGAAGAGGAAAGGAGGCGTCTTTGGAGACGTTGCTGGAGACGCTGTGCGGCATTGAGCTCAGAGGCGTCGAGGACACCGTGCGAGAGCGCCTCGTCAGCCAGAAGATCTATGTCTTTGAGGAAGATCTATGTCTTTGAGGATGCCGCTCTTCCCTGACTGAGCAGGACGCACAGTTTGCCTGCAAGCCAGCCGACTCCTGCCGCTTCTCCAAGGAGGCGGGAGCGGGGAGCGTTCCTTTATTGCCTTCCAAAACCAGGTGCCATTTCCAGTTGAGGCTGCATTTGGCAGACCTCTCCAACGGCCCCACTTCCTCGCGTGTTTTTAGTCGCAAGTGCATAGAAATGGCAAGCGAAGTAGGATCGTTTTGGCGAACTTCACACCATCTGGACGTTGATCGGATCCAGATCACAGCACCATTGTGCGGGCGATGTGAATCAGATAATGCTTCTACAAGGCTTGATCTACTCACATTGATATGCTTTCAAACTGCTAGATTAGCAGAAGCTGGGGCTAACAGTGGGAGCTCACCCCACTCCCCGGATTTGAACTGCCGACCTTTCGGTCAGCAAGTTCAGCAGCTCAGCGGTTTAACCCATTGCACTATGTAAATCAGATGATGCTTCTACAAGGCTTGCGTGAAAACCATCTCCTTCGAGCTGGATGCTCGGACAGACGTTCTGCTGAACCCTGAGCCCTTTTTCGGGAAACGTTGCTAATATATATATTTTAAGTTTTTGGTGCCTGAATAGGGTGCCGCATCCCTTTTGTAAATACTCTTTGGTTTCCATTTTTGTTTTGCCTTTGAGGAATGTAAACTATTTGCCTTGAAACCCTTCTCAGGAGATGTTTTCAGAAATCAGGACTTTGTTTGTATTTGGAGAATTTTTAGTGTTTTCAAGCAAAAGCAATTGGAGGATTTGCAAAAAAAAAAAAGGCGTTCTTGTTTCATGGTTATGTTATAAAAGTCTTTTTTTTAAAAAAAATAGATTTTTATTGGGTTTTGATTTTAAAAAAAAAGAGTAAACATCGAAAGTGGGGGGACAATTTCCAAATAGGAAAGTTTAGAAGGAGCGAAGTAGGAAGGAAAGAGGTAAAAGAGGAAGGAGGAAAAAGGGGAAAAAAGAAGAGAAAGGGAAAAAATGCTATTTGACTTCCTTCTATTCTTCGGTGGTTGTGGAAAAATAAAACTTGTTCAAGATAACTTTAAAAATCTATTACTTCCCCGTATTTACGTTGCTCTCTCGTGACTATCATGTTTCGAATTGTCAAAACTATGTTGAAATGTTTGAAATAGTCTTTAATCAGTTTCCAAGTGGTTTTTTTTTTTTTGGGAGACCTAAATTCAGAGTATGTTATAAAAGTCTTGACTAGGCGAAGGGGAAAATATTTGTCTGTGTTCATGGGCTGTTCAGCCGTAACGTGCTGCCCGTGAGAGTCAGGCAGTGATAAGAGGATTCAAAATGATTTGAAATTAGATTAAACATTGCCAAGATATTTATTGCTGTGTTGTGTCCGGCAAGCCAACACGTTGTTCAGTGTTCCCTCGCTACTTCGCGGTTCGCTTTTTGCGGACTCGCTCTTTTGCGGGTTTTTGCTTTCCGGTTTATGAATAGTTGCCGTTGCCCAGAGCGGCGTTCTAATCCCGCCTCCTGGCAACGATGGAGTGTGGAAAGGGGTTTGCTTTGCAACCTCAAGAGATACCTAGCCCCAAAAAAGAGTTTGCGGTGCCTTTACATCTCTTCCCCCTTCAGCCTCGCCCTCAGAACCAATCTCCACCTAGAGCATCCCTACTTCGTGGATTTTCACTTTTCGCGGGTGGTCCTGCGATAAGAGAGGGAACACGGTAGTGCTTTGAGCATGGGACGATGACTCTGGGAATCAAGGTTGCTCATTTAAGGAAACCCATTGGGTGATTTTGGGCAAGCCACACTCTCTCAGCCTCAGAAAGGGGCAGGAGCAAACTCACTTTGAACAAAGTTTGCCATGATTGGTTCGCTTTAGCATTGCCATAATCCAGTGGTTCTCAGCCTGTGGGTCCCCAGATGCTTTGGCCTTCAACTCCCATAAATCCTAACAGCTGGTAAACTGGGTTGCTGTGAGCTTTCTGGGCTCTGTGGCCATGTTCCAAAAGCATTCTCTCCTGACATTTCGCCCACATCTATGGCAGGCATCCTCATAGGTTGTGAGGTCTGTTGGAAACTAGGAAAATTGGATTTATATATCTGTGGAATGATGCCCAGGGTGGGAGGAAGAACTCTTGTCTTCTTGGGGTAAGTATGAATGTTGCAGTTGGCTAGCTTAATTAGCATTGAATAGCCTTGCAACTTGAAAGTCTGGCTGCTTCCTCCCTGGAGACATCCTTTGTTAGGAGGTGTTAGCTGGCCCTGATTGCTTCTTCTCTGGAATACTGAGCTGTTCGCTGGTAAACAAAGCCCCCGCTGGTGCAGTGGGTTAAAACTGTAAGCCACTGAACTTGCTGACTGAAAGGTCAGCGATTCAAATCCGAAGAGCGGGATGAGCTCCCACTGTCAGCCCCAGCTTCTGCCAACCTAGCAGTTCAAAAATGCAAGTGTGAGTAGATCAATAGGTACCACTCCGGTGGGAAGGTAACGGGCTTCATGCAGTCATGCTGGCCACATGACTATGGACGATGCCGGCTCTTCAGCTTAGAATTGGAGATGATCATCAGCCCCCAAAGTTGGGCACGATTGGACTTAATGTCAGGGGAAAACCTTTACCTTTTCCTAGCTGGCAAACTTGCTGGGATTTCTGGGAATTGTAGGCCAAAATACCTGGGAACTCAGAGGTTGAGAACCACTGTCATAATCAGAAGTCACTTGAAGGTGTACAGCAGCATCAGAAAAAAAATGTATGATATTAATTAAGCCTTGCTTAAGTTAAAACCAGTCAGAGTGAACCTACATACAGTAAATAAAGAGCAACACTAAAAAAACCCAGGGGAATTCCAGACAAGAATCAATCAGGACCAGCTAACCCCTCCCAACAAAGGCATTCAGCCTTAGCCTCATGCTTCCAGTTGTGTTTCTGCAACTGAAGGAGTAGGAAGGACATGGTTTTGTGTTTTCTTGTAATGGAGGGCGTTCAGGGGAATGGAGTGCTTCCCTTCTGCCGTCCTTTCTCCGGGTTCCTCGGGTGCCACTTAGACCAAGTATTCATGTTCGCAGCAGTGATAGTTCTCAAGGGTGGCTGGGCATCTCTCTTGGACGTGCAATTGAGAAGACATCCAAAGAGATCTCCCTGCTCTTGGTTTACTACGAAACATTGTTTTTATGTTACCCAGCACACATGTGCAAAATGTACGCATGGCATTACTTTATTAAGCGCAGTATTTTTGAAAGACATTTTCATTTAACTCACGGATGTCACAAGGAAGGAGGAGCAGGCGTTGTTTCCTGTTGCCCTGGAAACTGAGACTCCACAGAGCAGTGGGTTCAAATGACAGGAAAGGGGCATTCAGAAGAACTTCCTGACTGTAAGAAGAGCTGTTCAGCAGTGGAACTCTCTGCCTCGGAGTGTGGTGGAGGCTCCTTCTTTGAGGCTTCTAAACAGAGGCTGGGTGGCCATCTGCCAGGGGTGCTTTGATGGTGCTTTTCCTGCCTGGCAGAAGGGGGTTGGACTGGATGGCCGTTAGAGGTCCCTTCCAACGATATTGTTCTATTATTCTGTGATTCGAAGACACTTGAGGCACAAAGGTGTATTCATGCATGGCTGGGTCAGACTGGATGGTCTTTGTGGTCTCTTCCAAGTCCATATGCATTCCAGAACTACAGTGTTTTGAGTACGTTTGCAAAAAAAAAGAGAGCCAGGTTGTTTACCTCTCACTGTATTGATTATTTGTTTACGACATTTCTGTGCCGCCCTTCTCACCCTGAAGGGAACTCAGAGCGGCTTACAAGATACATATACATAGAATATATTACTATGTTAACATAGTACAATATCAGTATTATATATTACTATATTGTACTCTACCACTATATTGTAATATTATTAGTAATATTATATGTAACATAAATATAAATTACTGTAGTGGTTAGTTGTGTGGACAGGTTACTACACTTGCACTGAGCTTTATGTGACATTCTTTTGCATTTCCTGTTGGAAACTAGGCATGTGAGGTTTATATATCTGTGAAATAATGTCCGGGGGGGAGAAAGAAAGAACTCTTCTCTGCTTGAAGCAATTGACTACCTTAATTAGCATTGAATGGCCTTGCAGCTTCAAAGCCTGGCTGCTTCCTGCATGGGGGCATCCTTTGTTGGGAGGTGTTAGCTGGCCTTGATTGTTTCTTCACTGGAATACTGAGGTGTTGGCTGGTAAACAGAGCCCTCAGTGGTGCGGTGGGTTAAACCACTGAGCTGCTGAACTTGCTGACCAAAAGGTCGGAGGTTTGAAGCCGGGGTGTGGGGTGAGCTCCCACTTTTAGCCCCAGCTTCTGTCAACCTAGGAGTTCGAAAATACATAAATGTGAGTAGATCAATAGGTACCGCTTCTGCAGGAAGGTAACAGTGCTCCATGCAGTCATACTTTCTTAAATATTGAAATCTCCCAGCAGTCCTCCTGATTTCTCTACCTCCCTATCTATCTAATCTGTCAATCTGGAGGATTGCTGGGAGTTGCAGTCCAGGAATAGGAAGTTGGAAACCTGCCGGGATTGGGATGCTCTCAAAGAGATCCAAGGAGAAGACAGCTTGCCTCTTGGAAGCAGGGCATTTGGATCCTCCTCCTCTCCTAAAGGGCCTGGTCGAGGGGATGCTGGGAGCTGTAGTCCTGAAGAGAGTGTAGATATGCTATTGTGTGTTTTCTTTGGTGGGGGAGTTGTGTTGTTTACACATGTGCTGTAGCATCTTTTTGCGCTTTTTGGCTTTTAAAAAAAGTCTCTTCTGCTGTGTTTTTCAGTGTTTTTGTGAGTGATGGTCACTCGGTTGGCCCGATCGGTGTCTTGTGTCTACATTTTGTGTCAGTTTGTCCAGTGGTTTTTGAGTTCTGTGAATCCCACAAACGAACGTGACATTTTTATTTATATAGATTGTTGGGTGTCCTGCAAACCACTGGATTGTCCAAAATGTCACCACTGGCATCACTCTGTGTGTTGTGCTGATGCTTTTTGGCGCTGCTGTTCCGCCGCACTGTAGCTCACCTGCCAGCCGAGGCTGCGCTGCGTGCATCTGGAGAAGCAATAAAGAAGTGCCATTAACCAGTTAATGGGCCAAAAGCCACAAAACCTTACCTTTGTTTAGTTTTTAGAATGCTACAAACTTTGGCAAGTTTGCCAAAGGCTGCTGTGTAATTACTTCAGATTGAAGTTCATTGGAAGTGTGTATCTACTTCTAGATCATGTTTCTCTCTCTCTCTCTTTTTTGCAATAGCAGATTCCCAGATTAGTTTAGACCAGAAAAATTATTTTATTTTTCTGGTTATTTAATATTTAATGTTTATTTTACTTAAGTTATATTTGTCTTGACTGTTCTAATGTAGCACAAATCCTATGTAAAATCATACTACATATTTTTGACATTAATATTGAAATCTGAAATATATACAGAAAGTCTTTTACTTTTATATTTTGCAAATGTGTCATTTTGAATAGTAAAAAAACCCCAGCTTTAAAAGTGTTGGAAGCTGCTGAAAAATATTTATAAAAAGTAAAATAAGCTCCAGGTTTGGGGAAATGTACTAAATGTGTTTATTCACTTTTTTCCCCCAACTGTTGTGGGAAATTCATGTTTAAAGTTTACATACATTGAAGGCAAAAAGCGCTTTTTGCTCACGAAGCTGTGCAAAGTAATGTTTTTTGGGGACTGGGATGGATAACTTGTTAAATAAAGCTCATTTCAAAACACATATTGCTGTCATGAAGTTGATGTCGAGCCCCCCCCCCCCCCCCAAATAAGGGATAGTGACTTATAGTTCTGCAAAGGCAAGGGCACCAGACTACACAACAAGGGTCAAGTCTTGGTCACATTGCCAAGGCACTGACAACAACAAGGATCCCACGAGGCTTTTGAGAAATGGCTGGATCTTGGGACTTCTGCCCTTTGTGAGAGTTGTAGTTTCCAAAAGCGTGAATCAGTTGCAGCACAGCTGGGGTTTCACCTGCCAGCCTTCCCAATGACCATGGACTCTCTGCCTGCATGTCTTGGACTTCAGTACATACTCTCTCCCTCATGAACTTTCCTCAAAGACCTTTCAAAACATTGGGCTTCAGGCTTCTTCATGAAAATTAATCCTCTTATTAAATATACTTGGGATGTGGGACAAAGATGGGGTTTTGTTGCTATGAAATGCTTATGATTTGAATGTATGTATCTTGCTATGAAATATTGCCTTTCCCCTTTGCCTTTTGCCCTAGAAAATGTGACCCAGGACTGTTGAAATGCTTGAGGGAGAACCACCACCTCCCTTTCTTATTTGATTATTTCACCTCTGCATGGACAATAGCAAGCTGAAACTTCCTCTTGTTTGCTTTGTCTGGCAGGCAAGGAAGTTTATCTGGACACTTTGATTGAATCACAAAGGGCAGGGTTGATCCCCCCTGAGGTCCCCTGCCCCGATCCTGTTTGTTTTCCTTCACCAAAACCCATCAAGGGCAGGAAAACCTTTCTTAATGAAATCAACCTTTGCTGGACAAAACAATGCCCCTCTTCCGTCCCGCCTCCCTCTCCCTGATTTGCTAAGGAGCCAAAGAGGGAGGGAGTTTTGAAACTTTCAAACCTGTATTTTCTCTATAAAAATGCCAGTAAATTCTGTATTGCTATGCTTGTAGTGGAACTATTCCTACAATGCATCTGATTGCAGCTGAATTGCTAATAAAGACACCTCGGTCCCAGCTTCTTCCGCTTTGGTGAGGATTTATTATTTTAAATATTTTTGCGCTGAAATTGGCTTCGCTGGCCTCACTAAGGTTCAAGGACTCTCTTTGGTGCAGTCCTCAGGATCTCCTCGGCTGAGGAGATCCTCCTAAAAGCAGCTCGATATCAAAGTCAATTAACACAGGGTTGCTGTGAGTTTTTCAGGCTGTATGCCTATGGTCCAGTAGCATGGTCTCCTGACATTTTGCCTGCATCTGTGGCTAATGGCATCTTCAGAGGTTCTGTTGGCAGTGAGGCAAGTGGAATAATGTTCAGAGTGGAAGAAAGGAGCCCTGTCTCTTTAAAGCAAATGGGAATGTTGCAGTTAGCAAGCTTGGATAGCATTGAGTAGCAATTAAGCTGCAAAGTCAATCAGTGAGGGTATCTGCATGAGTTGCGATAGCACAGCGGGTTGAACTGCTAGCTGCAGGAAATCTGCTGGCTGGAAGGTTGGCAGTTCAAAGTGAACTCCCAGGTGTCAGGCCTAGCTTCTGCCAACCTAATAGTGCGAATGTATGCAGTGCAAGTAGATGAATGGGCACCTCTTCGGCGAGAAGGTCAAGGGTGCACCATGCAGACATGCCGGAGCTTGTTTGTGTCAGTCGACGATCCCGTCACATGCACACATACATATTTTCACTTTTACTATATGGATGGATGGATAGATGAATTGATAGATTGATAGATAGATGAATTGATAGATAGTTCAAATTTGTTAGGCTACGATTTATTTATTTATGGCATTTCTACCCCGCCTTTCTCACCCGGAGGGGACTCAAGGTGGCTTTACCTACAAGCAATGATTTGATGCCTGAAAGCACAATGTACACTTAAATAAATATTAAAATAGAATTAAATGGTTCTGTTCCAGACTACCTGTCCGAATGTATCTCTTGGTACGAACCATCACGAAACTTAAGGTCATCTGGGGAGGTCCTGCTCTCGATCCCACCGCCATTGCAAACGCGACTGGTGGGGACGAGGGACAGGGCCTTCTCAGCAGTGGCCCCGCCTGTGGAACTCCCTCCCTAGAGACGTCAGGTCGGCCACTCCCCTGGCTTTGGGACCAAGCGTTCGGTCAGTGACCAGCCAATGGAAGAAGATTTTAACACTTATGGCAATGATTTGACCCGGACTGGATTTTGGATTTCGATTTTTAATAGACGTGTGTTAATCAATTGTTTTGAACTACTGTTTTAATATTTTTTAATATTGTTATTGTACTGTTGTGATGATGGCATCATATGGTGCTTTTGTGAGGCCGCCCTGAGTCCCCCCTCAGGGGTGAGAAAGGTGGGGTGTAAATATAGGAAATAAAATAAAGAGCACATTATAAACAATCAAACCTTTATAAAACAATTCAGTCAGAGCTAAACACGCAATGAATCTACGAGTGTAATCCAGGCCCTTCCAATGATCATTGCACATTGTTTGAAGTCTAGCTATTGCCTAAGTTCTCCAAAGGCTTGCTCACAAGCCACATTTTCACTCTCTTGGGATGTTCAGTAGGGGGGGGGGGGGGTTGACCTAATATCCCTGGGAAGGGAGTTCCACAGTCGAGGGGCCACCATTGAGAAGGCCCTGTCTCTCGTCTCCACCAATCCTGCCTGCGAGAGAGGTGGGACTGAGCGCAGGGCCTCCCCAGATGATCTGAAACTCCACCAAGTTTCATAGAGGGAGATATGTTCAGACAGATAGGCTGGGCCAGAGCCGTTTGGGCCTTTATAGATTAAAGCCAGCACTTGGAATTGTGCCCGGTAGCACACTGCCAGCCAGTGGAGCTGACACAACAGGGGTGGGGGTGGGGGGGTCGTATGCTCCCTGCACGCTGCTCCGGTGGGCAATCTGCCTGCCACCCTTTGGACCATTGGGAGCTTCTAAACAATCCTCAAAGGCAGCCCAACATAGAGCGCATGTCAGTGGTTTCTTTGGGATGTAACCAGAGTGTGGACTACCGTGGCTAAGTCTGATTTCCCAAGGTATGGGCCAGCCCGGGTCGGAGTGAGCTTCTGGCCAATTGTGTAGCTTGTTGTCGACCTTTGCAACCCGAAAGACAGTTGCATCTGTCAAGTAGGAAATTTAGGTACCACCTATGTGTGGGGAGGCTAATATAACTAATTTATGAGTCCATAAAAAATATCCAGCAAAAGCATGCGGGGAATGTGGAAAGTACTTCATCAGTGTCGCAGATGGACGGTGAAGCGACAACTCACCTGGTGGTCAGAAAATTGGAATGTTAAATAGCCTCCGAGTGTCTGTCTATATGTGTTGTGTGTCTATGTGTACGTTGTAATCCGCCCTGAGTCCCTTGCGGGGTGAGAAGAGAGGAATATAAACACTGTAAATCAGGGGTCCACAAACTTTTTAAACAGAGGGCCAGGTCACAGTCCCTCAAACTGTTGGAGAGCCGGATTATAATTTGGAAAAACCATGAATGAATTCCTAGGCACACTGCACATATCTTATTTGTAGTGCAAAGAACACTTAATACAATAATCAAAATGAATAACAATTTTAAGAAATATAATTTAACTGATTTACGAGGCCATAAAATCTCCAGGAAGTATGCAAAGAATGAGGAAGTACTTCATCAATGTCACAAACGGACGGTGAAGCGACAGCTCCCCTAGTGGCCAGAGGTTGGAATGTTAAATAGCCTCTGAGTGTCTGTCTATATGTGTTGTGTGTCTATGGCATTGAATGTTTGCCATGTATTGTAATCCGCCCCGAGTCCCCTGCGGGGTGAGGAGAAGGGTGGAATATAAATACTGCAAATTAATAATAAATTAATAATAAATACACTTATTAGTATTTCAATGGGAAATATAGGCCTGCTTTTGGCTGAGGAGATAGGATTGCTGTTGTTGTTGTTGCGTGCTTTCAAGTTGTTTCAGACTTAGGTTGACCCTGAGTGAAGGCCAGGTAAATGACCTTGGAGGGCCGTATCCGGCCCCCGGCCCTTAGTTTGAGGACCCCTGATGCAAATAAATAAATAAATAAATAGATGTTGTGTGTCTATGGCATTGACTGCTTGCCATGTATACGTAAATCGTAATCTGCCCTGAGTCCCCTGCGGGGTGAGGAGAAGGGCGGAAGAGAAATGCCGTCAATAAATGAGCAGTGCGGGCGCTCCCCTGGCCCTCGGGTTCCAGGCTGAGCGATGCGCCCAGGGTCACTCCCAAGCTGTGAACCCGTGCAGTCACCCTCTGGCCTGGCTGGCTTTGCGGCCACTCCGCCCCCTTCCCGCTGCCACCCTCCAAAGTCACAGGCAGGCTGCGAGTGTCTTTTTAAAATACCATTTATTACAACAGAACCTTCCACGTTAAAATCCAAGTTGTTTATGTATTGGTTTGTTTTTATTTATTTTTTTAAAAAACAACAAGAGTGTCAACACCTTGGGATTTCCTAGCACTACACTCCCAAACATCTCGGCCAAAACAGGCCAAAAGATCCTTGCCGTCACCGACTGGCTGTTGTTTTCGATTGTTTCGCAAGCTCCTAACAAAGTTTTTATTTAAAAAACACAATGCAGCAAGAAGAGGCGAGGCAGCATTTTTCTCAGCCTGGGTCGGCTGCCGTCTTTCCCCTTCCAGGGCTCTTTCGGCTGCAGGTGACCCCCCCCCCTTCCCGGCACAGAATCCGGTTCCCTATCAACCAGGGTCTTCTTCTTCCAGGGCTTGGCCTTAGCAAAGGAGGTTTCGTTGCCTTTGGCTGTTGTCGGGATATGTGCCCAGCCTGGAAGCAAACATCCTAAAGATAAGCATCGGGGTGATGAGTGCAACTAAAAAAACAAAAAAAGATGGCCACCTAGTCAACAAGAGGGATTTGGGGGACAGATTCGGGGCACAGCATCTACAGCAGCTTGAAATGTTAAAGGTTTTCCCCTGACATTAAGTCCAGTCGCGTCCGACTCTGGGACTCTGGTGCTCATCTCCATTTCTTAGCTGAAGAGCCGGCGTTGTCCGTAGACACCTCCAAGGTCACGTGGCCACTGGCCTGACTGCATGGAGCGCCATTACCTTCCCGCAGAAGTGGTACCTATTGATCTACTCGCGTTTGCATGTTTTTGAACTGCTAGGTTGGCAGAAGCTGGAGCTAATAGCAGGAGCTCACCCCATTCCCTGGATTCAAATCGCCGACCTTTCGGTCAGCCAGTTCAGCAGCTCAGTGGTTTATCCCACCGCGCCACTGGGGGCTCCATTTACCAGCGAACACCTCTGTATTCCAGTGAAGAAACAATCAGGGCCAGCTAACACCTCCATGCAGGGAGCGGCCAGGCTGTGAAGCTGCAAGGCCATTCACTGCTAATCAAGGTAGCCAATTGCAACATTCACACCTGCCTCAAGAAGGCAAGAGATCTTTCTTTCTCCCAACCTGGACATCATTCCACAGATATATAAACCTCACTTGTGATAATTTTATGCTTATGTTGTTTGGTTAATTTTATGTCGTGCTCTTTACTCCGTATGTTTTGGTGATGTTACTTGGAAACCGCCCTGAGTCCCCCTCCCTCGGGGAGACAGAGCGTTATACAAATAAAGTTTTTACCATTATTATTATTATTATTATTATTATTATTGCCGAGTTTCTGACAGAAAATGCTAAAGGATGTCACTCAAAGCTCAGTGCAAGAGCAGTAAACCTGTTCACGCAACTAAGCACTACAGCGAGAGATAAACAATCCGCCGCTCCCTGGATTCAAACCTGCGACCTTGTGGTCAACAAGTTCAGCAGCTCAGCACTTTAACCCACGCTGCCATCGGGGGCTCCATGCAGTCCTGCCAATGGCCACATGTCCTTGGAGGTGTCTACGGACAACGCCGGCTCTTTGTCTTAGAAATGGAGATGAGCGCCAACCCCCAGAGTCGGGCACGACTGGCCTTAATGTCAGCGGAAAACCTTTACCTTTACCTTGAAATGTTACGGCACGGCAAGTGGACAAACGCGAGGCACCAAATAACTTTTTTTTTGCCTTTCTCAGAGAAATAATAACTTAAAAACACTGCATTTCCTCGCAGCAGACTTGTTTTTATCTCTTTCCTGTTCTTTATTTTTGCATTCCTCTTGCATTCCTGTAAACATGAAGACTGTCCTGCTAGGTAAGCGAGCCCACTGGGAAGGAAATCGTCCCGGCTGCCGTTCTGTCTGGGCAATGGGCACCAAGCCTGGCTGGCTGACCGGCTGGCTGACCGGCTGGCTGGGGCGGGGATCGGGGCCGCTCTGCGTGAGGATGGAGGATGCTCCGGCTCCGAGCTGCGTCTGTGCGGATTCGCCTCAGCCTCCCAGGGGTGTTCATGCTCATTCGTTTCCACTGAGGGTCTCCGCTGATGGTGCCGTTCTCCCTTCTCCTCTCCTCTCTCTCCTCCCTTCGAGCCGGCTGGACCAGAGGTTGGCTCTGGGTGGTGGCTGACTCTCTCCTGATAAGAGAGACGGAAGCGTGGGACAGCGAATCCCTCAGACCACGGCGGAGGAGGAGGAGGAAGAGGATGATGAAGCGGTGGCCGTCGACGAAGAAGGGGACTGGGATGGGGAGGAGGCGTTCCAGAACAGCCACCTCCGCTTGGGTTGCCGTTTTTGGTGGAGGTAGTCTTCCTTCTCCCGCTCTTTCTTGGCTCGCTGGAAATGGTCCTCTTCCTTCAGGTACCAGACGGGGGGCCACCGGTGCTTCTCAAAGTAGTCTTGGTTCTCTGGAATGAGGAGGAAACAGAGGATTTAAAACCACGTTCCTACTACAAAGCGGAATCCACGACATGCGAATGCAGAGAAGAGCCAACCTCTGAGCACCTGCTGCCATGCACCCTGAGCCCTTCTTCCACATGATGCACAAGGGAGGACCTCCTTGCGGCAACACCAGAGCCACTCCAAGGGGCCAGATGCTGCTCAAAGGACATTTAATAGAATGCCAAGTTTGCAAACTTTGTGTTTGTTTGTTTGTTTTTAAATGCAATACAAATGTTTGGTTCGCTCCTGACACGATAAATAAATAAATACAATTGAACTCCAATGCAGCCTGAGCCGTGCCACGTGTACAATTGAGAACCTTCTCACAGCGACACCAGAGGCACTCCAAGTGGCCAGCTTCTGGTCAAAGGACATGTAGCATAATGTCAAGGTTCTTCTGAAGCTTTTTTGTGTTTTAAATGCATTTTAACTGTACCCTCAACTTGCTTCTGATACAATAAATATGTTGCACTCCAGGACAGGAATAATCCTCTGATTTTAAACACCACACGTTGAATAGGAAAACAATCCTTTTATTGGGTTGTTGTAGGTTTTTTCAGGCTATATGGCAAGCAGTGAGGATGCTTGCCATAGATGCAGGCGAAACATCAGGAGAGAATGCCTCTAGAACATGGCCATATAGCTCGAAAAAACCTGCAACAACCCAGTGATTCCTTCGACAATACAATCCTTTTATTGAAGATAAGTAAAAGTGTCTAAGTAAAAAGCACTTAAAATGAATAGGTAAATCCAATTAGGTAAGAAGATTAGCAGGAGCAAATTAATCCAAGGTAGAGTTCAGCAAAGTCCGTAAAGCAAAGTCCTCACTTCTCTAATATAATCTTCTATATGTCTTTTTTCTATATATTCTTCTATATGTCTTCTCTAACATAATACATTGATCCAAGGCTTGGATGAGCAATCAATAAATCCAGGAATCAAAAACCATCACACAAGAAATATCTTAACGTGAATCTTCAAAGCAGAGCTTCCATGAAACAAGGACAAGAACTTGGCGTGATTCTAAACGATGCTTCATCTGACTACGCACCCCACAGCTGAGACTTTCATCCCCTCGTTAGCGAGGTCACTAGCAGTCAAAACCTGGTTTCTCTTTAATTGAGGCTTTATTGTTGTTGTTTTCTGTCAAATCCGAGCAGATTGGCAAAGCCACTGTTCAGCCCTCCTGTTTGGACTATTCTCTAATCGCCTATCTCTTGGCTCGTTATCTCATTAATTTCTGCAGGTGCTGAGCTCACTTTCCGTTCTCTCTCGTGGGAACCCCCTGGAAACAATCCAAGCGCACTGCCATCCCCACACCCCTCAGGGGCATTCTCCTGGGAAGCTACAGGAACCTCCTGGTCATTTTCTGCCTCAATATCCCTGACCAAACCATTGCCATCTTGAAACTCATCTCGAACCTCATTGACACCCTGATTCTGAAACACAATCACAGGCTGAGCTCCAACAAAATAAATAAATACTATTGAACCCTGGAATTCATTTACAATATTTCCATTGTATATTAGGTCCAGGGGGTCTGGAATATGTTATACGGGCCCTGGTAGCACAGCAGGTTCAACCACCAGCGGCAGAAAACGTTGCCAACCAGAAGGTTGGCAGTTCAAACCTGCGGGTTGGGGTGAGTTTCCACCATTAGCCCTAGTTTCTGTCTACCTAGCAGTTTGAAAAGAATAATGTGAGTAGATTGATAGGTATGCTTTGGCAGGGAGTAGAAGGCGCCCATGCAGGCATGCCGGCAATTTGATTAGGAAGGCGTCCACAGACAACAGGCTCCTCGGCATGGAAAATGCTTTATTTTAAATATTTTAAAAATGTCTAGTGCCAACCTCATGTACACTATACTAGTCCCGATTACGTATGTTTATGAAAAAGAAATGAAATACATATATATGCGCCAATAAATCACAAACGGCAGTGTCCAACCATTCATGTATACTGACCTGCTGACATGGCTTTCATCTCACGAGGGAACTTGCGACAGATGTTGTTGTAGTTGGTGCAGATGTGATGGAGGCACCAGTCGGCAAGCTGGTAGGCACCATGGAACTGGAGGGGCAAAAAAGAGACAGACAGAAATGAGCTACAGAATAATCATCATCATCACCACCATCATCATCATTATGTATATTCCTTTGAGCCAGGTAATGCCCCAAGAAGAGTTTTCTAAAGCATGGGAAAGGAGGAGGGCAATGTCGTCCTTCTTATGGGTATGTTGAGAGCCAGTCTCAATGGGACCCGTAATAGAGAGGGTGCCTTGCACACCAGCTTTGCAATCCCAGCAACCATTTTTGGCCGGGCACAGCCTGGAAGGTTTTGAAAGGGAGAAATGGCAGAAGTACCCGAGCCTGTTGTTGCAGCTACACCTGAAGATGCCGGATTTTAGCCATATTATATTAGATTAATTATGTTATATTAGAAGGCAGTGGTGTTTTGAGAGTCCTTTCAGCTGTGAGAAACTGTGGGAGAGTATCTGTGTCTCTGCACCCCAGAAAGAAAGTCAGAGAGCACAGTAGGTGTGCTTTCCTGGTCCTTGGTTTTTCCAATTGTGTGTGTCTTGGAACAGTTGATCCCCGTAGAGATGTTCAAAGTATTGTCGAAGGCTTTCAAGGCCAGAATCCCTGGGTTGCTGTAAGTCTTTTGGGCTGCATGGTCATGCTTCTGGAACATGGCCATACAACCTGAAAGACAGCAACCCAGTGATTTCGGCCATGAAAGCCTTCAACAATATAATAATAACAATAATAATATTGATTATACTATTAATATAATAATAATTAATGTAATTAATGATGATAATAATAATAAAACTTTATTTAAATTCCGTCCTTCTCACGCCGAAGGGATGGTTGGGCTCGAGTCCACAGGGGTGCTGTCGCTCCAACCTCTATGACGAAGAGCCATCAGGACTTCCTCATTCCAGCATTTTCTGATCTTCTTTTCTTTTTGGCAATGTAAAACACCTCCCCCGCTTTTAGCGGTACCTAATTTCTCTAATTACAGCTAAAGCTGTTTTTGAACTGCTTAGATAAACAGTGAGCAGGGCTGACAGTCAGGAGCTCACGCCGACCCGGGGCTTCGAACTTGTAACCTTAAGTTTTATCATTTTATGTCGTGCATTTGGCCTGCCCACTGTGTTTGATTTTCCATTATGCTATTTCATACTGTTTATTTTACTTGATTGGTTTGTTTATTTATTTTATTGTGATGTTATTTTGTTGTTTATATTTTATGTTGCTGTAATGTATTGCTGGGCTTGGCTTCATGTAAGCCGCCCCGAGTCCCCTTTGGGGAGATGGTGGCCGGGTATAAATAAATAAATAAATAAATATTATAACTTTTTGGTTCATAGATCGTATAGTTGCTGAAGATTTACCAGCTGTGCTAAACCTTTGATTTACAGACCTAGGGCCAAAGCTGCCATACCTGTGCCAACTCCAGGAACACAAGGACGTCCCCATCAATGTCCACTAACATTGGAGTCACTTCCATCAGACCGCACACCGTGAACTGCTCTGTAAACAAAAACCAGAAACCCAATTAGAGTCTAAAATTCTTTTTTTCTTCTCACAATCTCAACATTTCTGGAAATGTTTACATTTCGATCCTTCTCCAAAGAGAGGAGGCCACTGAGAGCAAGGCTTCTACGTTCTCTTCTGCGACTGCGTTTCCTGAATTGTGAGCGCAGCGTGCAGCGCAAGTGCAGAAAAGGTGATCTCAGAGCGCCACCTACTGTTTAACGAGTGCAGCAAACACAGGGATTTCTGGATCTCCTCCCCTCACCTTTATGTTAAAGGTAAAGGTAAAAGTTTCCCCTGACATTAAGTCTAGTCGTGTCTGACTTTGGGTGGTGGTGCTCATCTCCATGTCTAAGCAAAGAGCCAGCGTTGTCCATAGACACCTCCAAGGTCATGTGGCCAGCATGACTGCATTACCTTCCTGCAGAAGCAGTACCTATTCATCTACTCACACGTGTATGTTTTCAAACTGCTAGGTTGGCATAAGTTGGGGCTGCCAGCAGGAACTTACTCAGCTCCCTGGATTTGAACTGCTGACTATTTGGTCATCAAGTTCAGCAGCTTAGCGGTTTAACTTGCTGAGCCACCATAATTTAACTTTATATTAAACTAGCTGTTCCCTGCCACACGTTGCTGTGGCCCAGTCTGTATATATGTGTTTTTTGTGTGTATATATTTGCATAAATGTGTATATATGTGGTTTTGCATATGTGTTGTTATGGGTTTTTTTTTTGCTTTTTAAGTCTCTTCTGTTGTGTTTTTATGGCTGTTGGTCACTCACTGGCCTGAGAGGTGTATTGTGTCCAAATTTGGTGTCAGTTCATCTGGTGGTTTTTGATTTTTGTTAATCCCTCAAACGAAGATTACATACATATACATATGTATACATATATATATACACATATACATATACGTATGTATGTATGTATGTATGTATGTATTAGTGGTCCCCTGCCATGCATTTCTGTGTCCCAGTTTGTGTATATGTGTTGTATGTGTGTTTCTGTATATATGTGTGTTTGCATATATATGTGTGGTTTTGCGCATGCGTGGTAATGTATTTTTTCTTTGGCTTTTTAAGTCCCTTCTGTTGCGTTTTTCAGTGTTTTTATGAGTGATGGTCACTTGTTGGCCTGAGAGGTCTATTGTGTCCAAATTTGGTGTCAATTCGTCCGGTGGTTTTTGAGTTATTCTAATCCCACAAACAAACACTACGTTTTTATGTATATCGATTCCTGCAAAAGTCACTCATTTCAACGGGGTTCGCTGTTATCCACTGTTTCCACAGGAAGGCCAAGACTATATCCCACGAGGATTCGGGTTTAGTGCCGTGAATGAGCTCCAAGTCTTGAACGTCCCGTGGTCCATTCTGGAGCCATCCAGAAGCGGCCTGAGCGCCCCTCCTTGCCTCCCCCCAAGAAACAGTGTCTTCGGCTCCCTGGAAATTACCTGTGAGCGCAACCAGGTGTGGCAGGCAGAGGCGATTGGCCAGAATGATGAGTTTCATGTAGTCGAGGTCCATCGTGGAACAAAACTGGCCGGTGTACAGGTACTCGAGCACCGCCCGCATGCAGCTCTTGCTGGTGTAAGGTAGCACCACCTGCAAGACACAGAAGCAAAGGAGGGTTCAAGTCCCGGCACGCTCCCCGGCAGAACACGGCTCATTTCCAGCGGCAAAGCAGCTGCCCCTCCCTTCCCCATAACCCAGGCGTGGGCAACCAGCCCTCTGGGTGTTTTGGAATTCCACTCCCACAATTCGCAACAGCGAATCCTCCTGCATACCGTAACTATGATTCTCTTCTATAGCTACCAAGAGCACTCTTAAACAAAATCCAAACCTTGAGCCCAGAACTTAGGAAATCCTGGACCAAGATTGGGCACACCGACCTATTTGCAGTGGCCAACAAAAACATAACAAGGAAACGAGGTTGTTGCAGGTTTTTCGGGCTACAGGGCCATATTTATCCATTAATTTATTTATAACTTTTGTATCCTGATCTTCTCCACCTCCGTAGAGGGACTCAGACCGGCTCACAGCTAAAATTCAGTGCCAAATAGAGTCTAAAACATCATACAAACAATAAAAGGATAAAATGCAAATAGATTAAAACATATAAGCCAGGTCGCCAAAATCAAATCACGTCCAGTTCAGTCCGCATATGTGATCAGTAACTTTAGTCTCTTGCCGGTCTCAGCCCTTATTCCGGGAAGGCTTCTTTCCATAGCCAGGATGTCACTAGCTTCCCGAAGGTCAGGAAGGAGGGGGCGGAGCTAATCTCAGTTGGGAGAGAGTTCCAGAGCCGAGGGGCCACCACCGAGAAGGCCCTGTCCCTCGTCCCCACCAGACACAATTGCGAGGGTGGTGGGACCGAGAGCAGGGACCCTCCAGAAGATCTTAACAACCTTGATGGTTCATAGGGGAGAAGACATTGGACTGGTAAACTGGGCCATAACCGTATAGGGTTTTGTAGGTCAACACCAGCACTTTGAATTGTGCTTGAAAGCTAATTGGCAGCCAGTGGAGCTGGTGCAACAAAGGAGTTGTGCGCTCCCTGTACCCCGCTCCTGTTAGTAGCCTGGCTGCCGAACGTTGGACTAACGGCAGCTTCCGGGCAGTCTTCAGAGGCAACCCCAGGTAGAGAGCATTGCAGTAGTCAATATGGGATGTAACCAGAGTGTGGCTAAGTCAGACTTCCCAAGGTACGGGCGCAGCTGGCACACAAGTTTTAACTGTGTGAATGCTCTCCCGGTCACCACCGAAACCTGGGTTTCCAGGCTCAGCGATGAGTCCAGGCTCACTCCCAAGCTGCGAACCTGCGCCTTCAGGGGGAGCGCGGCCCCATCCAACACAGGCTGTAACCCTATACCCTGTTCGGCCTTACGACTGACCAGTAGGACCTCTGGATTCAATTTCAATTTGTTCGCCCTCATCCAGTCTGATACAGCAGCCAAGCACCAGGTTAAGGTCTGGAAAGCCTCCTTAGTAGCAGGTGGGAAGGAGTGACAGAGTTGGACGTCATCCGTGTACAGATGACACCGTACCTCAAAACTCCGCATGATCTCCCCCAATGGCTTCATGAATATGCTGAATAACATAGGGGGCAATACTGAACCCTGCGGGACCCCACAGTACAATGGCCGTGAGGCTGAGCAGGAGTCCCCTAACAACACCTTCTGGGAATGACTCTCGAGGAAGGACTGGAGCCACTGCAAAGCAGCACCTCCAAGGCCCATTCCTGCGAGGCGTCCCAGAAGGATACCGTGGTCGACGGTACCGAAGGCCGATGAGAGGTCCAGCAGAACCTTCGCCCTGTCTAGCTCCCGGCGAAGATCATGTTCTAGAAGCATTCTCTCCTGACGTTTCACCTGCATCTATAGCAAGCATCCTCAGAGGAAATTTAGGTACCACTTATGCGGGGAGGCTAATTGAACTAATTTACAACACCATAAAACTCTCCAGCAGCGTGCAAAAGAATGAGGAAGTACTCCATCGGTGTTACAAGCGGACAGTGAAGCGACAGCTCCCCCGGTGGCCAGAATTCAAAGCATGCCCTCATGAAGCTGGAACGTTAAATAGCCTCTGTGTGTCTGTCTATATATGTTGTGTGTCTATGGCATTGAATGTTTGCCGTGTATATGTGCATTGTGATCCGCCCTGAGTCCCCTGCGGGGGACTCAGAAGAAGGGCAGAATATAAACACTGTAAATAAACAAATAAATCCTCTGCTTTGAACTGGGATATATGGCAGTGTGGATTCAGATAGCCTAGTTCAAAGTAGATATTGTGGGATTTTCTGTCTTGATATTCTGGGTTATATTGCTGTCTGCCTCAGTAGAGCAATGGGTTAAGCCCTTGTGCTGCTGAAGGTTGGCAGTTCGAATCTACAGTTCAACGGGGTGAGCTCCCATCTGTCAGCTCCAGCTCCTGCCAACCTAGCAGTTCAAAAACAAACATATATGAGTAGATAAATAGGTAGCGCTTTGGTGGGAAAAGGCAAAGAGGCACTCCAAGCAATCTTCCCGGCCTCACAATCAGGAGGTGACAACACAGGCTCCTTGGCTTGAAAATGGAGAAAGCACTTTTCCAGAGCCAGAGATGGGCACCGCCTCCCGAGGCCGGAAATGAAAGGAGGAGCCCTTGCCTTTGTTTGTGTTTGTCTGTCTCATTGTATGAATGTTTGCCTATGCCTGCCAATGCCGTAATCCACTCTGAGTCCCGTAGGGGAGAAGGGCGGAATATAAATAAAGTGCGTTATTGGGCTGTTGTGAGTTTTCTGGGCTGTGTGGCCATGATGCAGAAGTTGGTCTCCTCCTCACCTCTTGAGTTGAGCTCTCTACAAAGGGACCCCCAAACATGGCAGCCATCCAATCACAACTGGAGATGAGCAACGGCTTGTGGGCACTGATAGCACCATCATCCAGGATAAAGGTGACATCTGGAAGGAAACAAAGGGAGAAGCAATCTTTTTAAAGCAAGGCTTCGCTATCACGTGAAAAACAACCTTATGTGAATCCACACAATTGGTCCATCTTGACCAGCACTTTCGACTCTCCCGCCATGGCGTCCTATACATGTTTGGGGATCAAGTCTCACCCTCACCAACCAATATGGCTAATAAGGACTGTATTTACTCGAGGATAAGCCTAGTTTTTCAGCCCCCTTTTGAGGCTGAAAAAGCTCTCCTCGGCTTATACTCGAGTCAAGGTTGTTTATTATTTTACTCAGTTATTAGTACTATTTTTTATCATATTTATTATTTTACTCTATTTATTATTATTATTACATTTATTATTTTACTCTATTTATTATTATTATTACATTTATTATTTTACTCTATTTATTATTATTATTACATTTATAATTTTTCTCCATTCATTACTGTTATTATTACATTTATTATTTTTCTCCATTTATTATTATTATTATTATTATTATTATTATTATTATTATTATTACATTTGTATTTCTTATACTTCTAAAAACCTCCTATCCCAGAAAGTAAATGCGCGTGTGAGACGTACCAGAAAAGGTTCCCTTGGCCAGGCACTCCTTAACCCGGTTGGTTCTCCTGACGTGGAAGGCTTTGGTGATCTCCTGGTTCATGAACGCCTCGTTGTTGAGAATGTTGGCCACCATCATCCTGAGGTCAAAGACTTCCAGCAGCTCGGCAATGTGGGCGATGTGCATGAGGTCCCGCTCGTTCTCGTCCAGCTCCCCGGTGTAGAGGTACTTCAGCACGGCCCGGAAGGGCCCCAACTGGACGGAGGGGTCCATCTTCACCACCACCATCGGGCGGGGCTTGTACGTCACGGGGTCGTCGGCCATCTCCTCCTGGATGCTGACAAAGGCACGGCTCCAGGAGGAGAGGATCCTCCCCCGCCGGAGCCCCCGCTCCCCGTAGTTCTTGCCCCGCAGGATCCCGTCGCTGGTGGAGGCTCTAAGGCACGGTTTGTGCTGGCTGGAGCCAGCCTCGTCCACGCTCTCGCAGATGTCAAAGCTGGCCGCTCTCAGGAGGAACTCCCGGCCGTGATGGTGCCGCTGCTCCTGGTGGAGAGTCCGCTCGGCAACACCCGCCCCGGCGCCGCGCCCCGGCGGCTCCTGCTGGTCCTCCTCGCTCAGGTCCATCAGGAACAGGTCGTAGAACTTGGAGGAGGAGGTGGAGAGGTAGATCTTGTGCGCGTAGATTTTGACCCTCTCTTGCAGCACCAGAATGACGTCCGCACACAAGGGGTCTTCCAGCAGGTGGGCCGGGCGCTCTTCGTTGTTGGAAGGCGGGTCGGGGACGGTGATGATGGGCGGAGGGGGCTTGGGGGGCAGGAACGGCGCCTGGAGCAGCGGCCGCTGGACGTTGCGCAGGTGGGACTTCCAGAACTGGAGGTGCCGGCGGGAGATGAGGGCCGCTCGGATCGCGTTGTCAAAGACGTCCTTGATCCCGAACTGGGCGACGACACTGGTTTCGTAATAGGGGATCCCCAGTTCCTTGGCCACCTCTCGGCCCTTCTCGGGGGGCAAAATCTCATTGGGCTTGATTGGCCTGGAAGGGAAGAAAGGAGAAGAGAAAAACGGGTTGGGCACTGGCTTCGAATGCAAAGGCTTTAAAGATGGAGGTCAGCAGGCTTAATGTATTCTCAAAGGCTTTCGTGGCTGCAATCACTGGGTTGTGGAAGGTTTTTCGGGCTGTATGGCCGTGTTCTAGAAGCATTCTCTCCTGACATTTTGCCTGCATCTATGGCAAGTATCCTCAGAGGTTGTGAGGTCTTCCTTCCCTTCCTTCCTTCTCCTTCCTTCCTTCCTCCTTCCCTTTCCTTCCTTCTTCCTTCCCTTTTCCTTTCCTTCCTCTTTCCCTCCCTCTCTTACTGCCTTCTTTCTCCCTTGCTCCTTCCCTTCCACCCTTTCGTCCTTCCTTCCTTTCCTCTCTCCCACCTTTTCCTTCTCTCCATCCCTTTGTCTTTCCTTCCTTCTCTCTTTCCTCCCCCCTGCATCTTTCTTCCTCCCTCCATTCTCTTTCACCCTTTCTTCCTTCCTTTCTTCTCTCTTCCCTTTCTCCTTCCCTTCCTTCCCTCCCACCCTTTTGTCTTTCCCCTTCCATCCTTCCCTTCCACCCTTTCATTGTTCCTTCCTTCCCTCTTTCCTCCCTTTTGTCTTTCCTTCCTTCCATCTTTCCTCCCTTCTTTCCTCTCTCCCTGCAATCCCTTCCATCCTTTCGTCCCCCCTTCCTTCTTTTTCCTTCCTTTTTCCTTTTCTTCCTTTCATTCTTTCCTTCTACCCTTTCATCCTGCTTTCCTCCCTTCCTTTTGTCTTTCCTTCCTTCTCTCTTTCCTTTTTCCCTTCCTCCTTCCTTCCCTCTCTCTCTTTCTCCTTTCCTTCCCTCATTCCTCCCTCCTTCTCTCTCTCTCCTTCCTTCCTCCCCTTTGTCTTTCCTTCCTCCTCTCTTTCCTCCCTCTCTCCATTCCTTTCCACCATTCCTTCCTTCCACTCTTCTCTTCCTCCTTTCCTTCCTTCCTTCCTTCCTTCCTTCCTTCCTTCCTTCCTTCCTTCCTTCCTTCCTTCCTTCTCTCTTCCTCCTTCCCTCCCTTCCTTCCATCATCGGCAGCCAGCCCTCTTAGCAGGGAGTGCTAACATGCGCCCCCCAAGTTAGAGAGTTTGCCCAAGCCTGCTGCAGATACAAGGAGGGAGGAAGTTAGACCAGAGACTGTATCACAGCCGGCCGGCCGGCCATCCACCTCCTCGCGCTCTCCTTCCACCCTGGCACCCTCCGCCACAACCACACCCCGAATGCCGCTCCTTGCTTGCGGGAGTCCTCTTGGCATCTCTTCCTACCTGGCTAAGGGTCTCCGAGCTCGATTTACTGCTTCCAGGTCAGCGTAGCGAAGGTCAAGCTGGCAGCCGACGAGGATGACAGGGGCTCGGGGGCAGAAGTGCTTGATTTCCGGGTACCACATTGTCTTCACGTGGTGAAGGGAATTGGGGTTTGCAATGGAGAAGCATAATACTACCACGTCCGACCTGTGGGCAGAGGAAAGGCAGGAATCAGCGACCGCTCGGCCAATCCCGCTTGGCAAGGCCAGCGCGTGCTTTGTATGCTTTGCACACAAGGTCTTTTCACACGACGCAATAACAGCGTTACGGCTCCAGTTTCTGATCCAGGGCGGCATCCAGGGAATCCTAAAGTTTGGAGCCTGGTGAGGCACTAGAGCTCTCCGGATAGGAATTCTCCATGCCTGTCCCCAAGACGCCAAATCCCAGGATTCCTTTCCAATTAAGGTGAAATCATACCTAAAAGAATCCCATTCCTTGTGTGACTGTGGAGCAGAACAGACAACTCCGCACCTGTATGCTTGCCCACTGTGCCCTGCCTCATGCACAGAGGAAGAATCGTTGGAGGCTACAGACAATGCTGTTGCTGTTGCCCGTTTTTGGTGAAAAGGTATTTAGCCTCCTGCAGTCCGATTTTTATCAGTTTTATAGTAATAAAACTGATACGAAATAAATAAATAACCGCTCTAATGGTGCAGTGTGAAAGGATCCCCATTATGTGTTGGGGTTGATGCAACCCTGCCCTCGTGTTTTCTTCTTCTTCCTCCTTCCAGGACGAGGTTCGCATTATTACAGTGACAAGAACATGACATTTGTTACGTAACACGACTGCGTGTGCCCTGGTCATCATATGAGTGGGAGGGGCTCCTCTCTGGAGGATTTGGTCATGAAACAGTTAGTATTATTCTCAGGTGACAGAGGAAGATGATGAGGAAGATGATGGTAACTCCCACCCTGAAAACATCATGCCAAGAAAACGCCATGTTTGGTTCACCCTAGGATCACCATAAATAAGGAAGAAAGCGAGAACCCTTTTCTGCTTAAGGGCTCAATTCAATATCATAGGATCCTAGAAGAGTTGGGAGAGACCTCCTGGGCCATCATCATCCAGTCCACCCCCATTCTGCCAAGAAGCAGGAATATTGCATTCAAAGCACCCCTGACAGATGGCCATCCAGCCTCTGCTTCAAAGCCTCCAAAGAAGGAGCCTCCACCACACTCCCTCCGGGGCAGAGAGTTCCACTGCTGAACGGCTCTCACAGTCAGGAAGTTCTTCCTCATGTTCAGATGGATTCTCCTTCCCTGAAGTTTGAAGCATTGTTTCATTGCATCATACTCACCAGGGCAGCAGAAAGGAAGCTTGCTCCCTCCTCCTCCCTATGACTTCCCCTCACATATTTATACATGGCCATCTTGTCTCCTCTCAGCCTTCTCTACTTCAGGCTAAATATGTCAAGCTCTTTAAGCCACTCCTCATAGGGCTTGTTCTCCAGACCCTTGATCATTTGAGTCACCCTCCTCCGGACACATTCAAGTTTGTCAACATCTCCCTTCAATTGTGGTGCCCAGAATGGGACACACTATTCCAGGTGTGGTCTCACCAAGGCAGAATGGAGCATGGGGAGCATGAACTCCCTGGATCTAGCCACCAGTATATTCCTATTGATGCAGGCCTTCTCACACTGAGGGATCTCTGACTGAGGCCTTTTCCCCACTGAGGCCTTCTCACACTGAGAGCTACCTCAGACTGAGGGATCCCTCCCACTGAGGCCTACTAACACACTGAGACCTCTCACAGACTGAGGTCTACTAAGCTACACCTGCTTACATAGAACTGCAGCTTTTGCGGAGTCATTGCATCCATTTAACCCTTTCCGTGCTTAAATCACATTTTTGTAATTAAAAATAACTAGTTAATATTTAATATTTCTGACATAAAAGGCATTGAATGTGTGCCTTATATGTGTACTGTAATCCGCTCTGCGTTCCTCTGGGGACATAAAGCAGAATATAAATAAAGTGTATTATTATTATTATTATTATTATTATTATTATTATTATTATTATCTCATTTGATATTAATAAATTCTGCCAGATGTCTCGTATGGAGTTACAGACTTTGGCTCTAAGATACTGAGATGACACGCATGACATTTGGCAGCATTCATGATCACCTGGCAAGACCTCATGATCGTACTCACCGTCCATAAGCAAAGCGCCGGTCCTTGTGATGGTCCCCAAATGTATCCCAAAGGCGCAAGGAAACACTGACGTCATCCACGACATCTCGGGAGCGCTCCAAGACCTAAAGGAAAGCCAAGAGTGAGCATCCAAATGCTGCAAACAACGAGGGTGAAAACACAAGGGTTGAACCTTTAGTTGCTCTTTTGCATCTGATAATTGGGGATATTAAGTTTCCCCGTGAAATATCCAATATTGTGTTGTCGAAGGCTTTCATGGCCGCAATCACTGGGTTGCTGTGAGTTTTCCGGGCTGTCTGGCCATGTTCCAGAAGCATTATCTCCTGACGTTTCGCCCACATCTACAGCAGGCATCCTCAGAGGTTGTGAGGAAAGTGCTGGAAACTACGCAAGTGGGGTTTATATATCTGTGGAATAATGTCCAGGGTGGGAGAAAGAACTCTTGTCCGTTTGAGGCAAGGGTGAATGTTGCCACTGCCACCTTGATTAGCACTGAAGGGCCTTCCAGCTTCAAAGCCTGGCTGCTTCCTGCCTGGGGGAATCCTTTGTTGAGAGGTGTTATCTGGCCCTGATTGATGTGGGCGAAATGTCAGGAGATAATGCTTCTGGAACATGGCCGTACATCCTGGAAAACTCACAGCAATCCATGTCCAATATATTTTTACTGGAATTTTTCTTCCCACAACATAAACTGACCAGGTTTGAAATCTCAACAGCATGTGTCTACACTGCAGAATTAATGCACTTTGATCACTTTAACTGCCATGGTTGCATGCGATGGAATCCTGAGATTTGCAGTTAACATGCCATTAAGCTGCACTGATTCTAGAATGCAAATGCATACCAAGAGGCAGAAGTCCCTGAGATGCATCACGGGGGAGAAATGAGCACAGCAAAGCACACTCAGGCGGCCGTCTTCCACTCGCTTCCCTGAGAGTAAGCCCACGGAATCGAGTGGGGATTACTTCAGAGGACCGGGAGGACAGCCTGCTTTCAGTGGATTCAAAGCTTTACTCACAAATTACTTGGGCTGAAATGCTGATTAATATTTCAAGACCTGGCAAGTCAATCGCTTGCACTTCTCATGACACTCTTCTACTTTCAAGCGAGGAAACAAACGCAATGAAAATTTAACTTTTACACGCCACAAAAGAGCCATGCATTTCTAGCTAGGATATATATCAGCCAGGCTTCCCAACAGTATGTGCGTTACTAAAAAATGGACAGCGTTGAAACAACCCATTGTTTCTACCGAATACGCTGCTAATCCATTTTTTAAAATAATGCGAAGCCTTGCGTGTTATTTTTTTTCGATCTATCTACCTACCGACCTACCTATATCTAATCTACCTGGAGGATTGCTGGGAGCTGCAGTCCAGGAATAGGAAACTAGAGATATGGAGGGATTGGGATGCTCTCAAAGAACTCCAAGGAGAAGAAAGCTTGCACCTTGGAAGCAGGGCATTTGGATCCCCCTCCTCTCCTAAAGGGCCTGGTCTAGGGGGTGATGGGAGTTGTAGTCCTGAAGAGAGTGTGGATATGCTATTGTGTATTTTGTTTGCTAGGGGAGGTTGTTTTTGCACATGCGCTGTAGCGTCTTTTTGCTTTTTTGGCTTTTGAAGTCCCTTCCGCTGTGTTTCTCAGTGTTTTTATGAGTCATGGTCACTCGTTGGCCTGAGAGGTGTCTTGTGTCCAAATTAGATGCCAATTCATCCAGGGGTTTTTGAGTTCTGTTCAACCCACAAACAAACATTACAGTTTTATTTATATAGACTAGCCCTCCCCTGCCACGCATTGCTGCGGCCCAGTCTGTGTATATGTGTTTTGTGTGTGTGTATATATTTGTATATATGTGGTTTTGTGCATGCGTTGTAATGTATTTTTTAAGTTTTGGCCTTTTAAGCCCCTTCTGTTTTGTTTTCCAGTGTTTTTAGGAGTGACGGTCACTCGTTGGCCTGAGAGGGGTCTTGTGTCCAAATTTGGTGTCAATTCGTCCAGTGGTTTTTGAGTTCTGTTAATCCCACAAACGAACATTACAATTTTATTGATATAGACTAGCTGTGCCCTGCCATGCGTTGCTGTGGCCTCTAGTAATAATTTTTGAAGTAGTGATAGCAATCTGGACTATTATGAAGGAGAGGTACCTACCTATTGGATGTTGGTGATATCTATCTATTAGGCCTGGGTAACAACGGAAAAATTTGTTTCTAAAATCGATTTGTATTTGGGGTTTTTTTTTGTTTCGATATTTAAAATAATTACAAAATTTTCCTTTTAAAAAGTTCGATATTTACGAAATTTCGTAAATGGTAAAAAATAACGAATCGATTTCCGAAACAATAACGAATCGATTCGTTAATGGCGGACGCGACCGCGAAATACGCTAAAAAACCTCCAAAAACTTCTGAAGCTTCCCTCTCCCTCTGTTGTTGACTGTTGGTGTGATATTATAATTTTTTTTCACTAATAAAACCATAAAACTGGCCCAGACATGCGGAAATAATAACGAAACGACCTCAAAACAATAACGAAACGAATACAATATCGAAATACGAAGCATTTACAAAACGTTTTTGAAAATTCGTTTTTTTTAATAATGGCTCCAGAATGGTTCGTTATCGTTTTGTAATTGAAAAAATTAACGAATTATTAACGAATTACGAATTAACGAAACGAAACCGCCCAGCCCTACTATCTATCTATCTATCTATCTATCTATCTATCTATCTGTGGACTGTCCAGGGTTGCCACAGATGCAGGCAAAATATCAGGAAAAATGCTACTGGAACATGGCCATGCAGCTCAAAAAACTCCCAGCGACCCAGTGATTCCAGCCATGAAAGCTTTTGACAACACCGAAAACGTTTTGCTCATTTTGCTGTTGAGCATGAGAAGCGAGTCCCATTCTTCTCAGGCCCAGGCGTTGACCTGGGACGATCTCCAGCCAAGAAGGTGTGCTCCCCGAGCATGAGTCTCCCCGAGTCTCCCCGAGTCCAAGGGCCAACGGCGCCACTCACTCACCTCCTGGCAAACGCGATACTGATCGATGGCCCAAACGGTGGGCACATGCGTGGCAAGAAGCTGGTACTGTGTCAGCGTGGCATTACATGCACGGGCACAAATGAGCCTGGTCTTGCCTACGGCGTTGTCCCCAACCACAACACACTTGATGGTTTCTACGTTTGGCCTTTCATAATCCATGTCAGAATCCATTAATTGGGACCTAGAGCAAGAAGAAGAAGAAGAGAGAAACATTAGAAAGGCGCCTCAAACGTAAACGCTCCATGATTGGCCCGGCAGGTCACTTGCCTGCTTCGTACGGAGTCCTTCTGACGGAAGGAAGGGGGGACTGGCTCCCAGAAAGGCCAAACAAATGGGCGTCTCTCGGTGCCGAGAGAGAGGCGCCCCACCTCACCCCTCTTTCGTACCGGGAGATATTGCAAGGGATGTGGCTCTGCATTTCCTTGCTGCAGACCAATTCAAAAACCAAACACATCCACAGTCCTTCTCAGAAATCAAGGATTTTGGACCTTCGACACCACCAGAGCCATCGTAGATGTCGTGGGAAGACATATAGTCATTGGAAGTCATTGGAAGAAAGCATTCTAGGCGCAACTACTAAGGCGGGTGTAGATGAGGGCCAGGAACGAGGGATCTGGACTGCCATCAGGCATAAATCTGGGTTTGGCTACTTTTTTGTGTCAGAAGTGACTTAAGAAACTGCAAGTCGCTTCTGGTGTGAGAGAATTGGCCGCCTGCAAGGACATGGCCCAGAGGATGCCTGGATGTTTTGATGTTCTTACCATCCTTGTGGGAGGCTTCTCCCATGTCCCCACACAGGGAGCTGGAGCTGACAGAAGGAGCTCATCTACGCTCTCTCCAGATTCAAACCTATGACCTGTCGGTCTTCAGTCCTGCCGGCACAAGGGTTTAACCCTCTGCGCCACCGAGGGCTACTGGGGTTACCGGTGTTAAAAAACTCTAAAATCAGGACAGTAAATAAAGAGCTACACTCAAAAACAGGGGAATTCCAGACAAGAAACAACCAGGGCCAGCTAATCATCTCCCAACAAAGGATTCCCCCAGGCAGGAAGTAGCCAGACTTTGAAAACTGCTAGGCCATTAAACACTAATCAAGTTGGCTACTGGGGTTACCGGTGTTAAAAAACTCTAAAATTAGGACAGTAAATAAAGAGCTACACTCAAAGACAGGGGAATTCCTGACAAGAAACAATCAGGGCCAGCTAATCACCTCCCAACAAAGGATTCCCCCAGGCAGAAAGTAGAGAGACATTGAAAACTGCTAGGCCATTAAATACTAATCAAGTTGGCCAATTGCTACATTCATACCTACCTCAAACAAGCAAGAGTTATTTCTCCCACCCTGGACATCATTCCACAGATATATAAACTCCTAGTTTCCAACAGACCTCACAACCTCTGAGGATGCTTGCCATAGATGCAGGCGAAACATCAGGAGAGAATGCTTCTGGAACATGGCCATACAGCCCAGAAAACTCACAGCAACCCAGTGATTGTGGCCATGAAAGCCTTCAACAATACAAAGAACATGTCTAAGGGGAGAATTTGTTCCAAGGCACATGCAAATGGGAAAAGGACACCTGCCATAGATGCAGGCGAAACATCAGGAGAGAATGCTTCTGGAACATGGCCATACAGCCCGGAAAACACCCAACAACCCATTGATTCTGGCCACGAAAGCCTTCAACAACATAATATTGGATATTTCATGGGAAAACTTAGTATCACCACTTATCAGAACCCAGTAATGCCGGCCATGAAAGCCTTCGACAGCACATCGGACACAAGTCTGTCCCTGGAAATTCTTTCTAGTTCTGCCCGAGGATCTGCAATCCTACCTGCAGCTGTGTATCCTTTTGCGTCCTTGGGCCAGGAAGGAGAGGCCACACACTGCAATTTAAGCCCGAGGGATCGTGCCCCGAGGGGTTCGCTGGACACCAAACGGGCACGCGGCGGTGTCTTCTCGCCCCTTGTAACTAACCTGTCCAGCGTCCACATCCAGCATCCACATTCAATCCGTACCCGCAAGCGGAGAGACTTGTCTGCCTGAGAAAGTTACCCGGAATTAATCCCCTCCTCTAGCAGGGCGCTCCTTGGGGCGAGATTCCTGGGTTTGGTCCTTGGCAAACATAAAAGGGAGCCGCACTGACCGCTTGCCCCGCCGCCTTCTCCCACGCTGGAGAACAAGCTTGAACTGCTGCCCTTCTTGGGTCCGAGGCACAGACCCCGCGGAACCCGGGAAGAGCGAAAACAAGAGCCCTGGCCAGGGGCATGGAGGCCGGCCAGCTCCCCGCCCCTTCCCGCACGCATTCCAGGCAGCATCCCTTCAAAAATTAATAAGGTTTCCAGAGCATGCCTCAGCGAGGCTTCTGGCACGGCACATGCCTCGTCGGTTCCATCCCGGCCTCCTCCCTCCCTCCCTTTGCGCTCCCATGCTTGTTCATGTGAGGATGGTGCCCCCCCCCACCTCCTTGTTGCTCCCCTTCCAGTCCTGGCTCAAGGAAGCTTCCAGATCCACCTGACTGATCACCGTTCCTTCCCTCCTTGCCTCCCACCCTCCACCGCCACGGCTCACCACTCCACAGCCAAGGCTTGCCAGGGCCTCATATTTTTGTTTTCTCACATCCTCCTTCTCACTCACTCACTCACTCACTCACTCATGCGGCACGCACAGCCGTGAATGCACACATACACACACACACGCAATCCGGGACGTAAACAGGGGGGTGAGCTGGAGAGCGTCTGCTCCCGTCCGCCTGCTCGCTGAGAACAAACCCAAGCATAAGGCACAGCCATTCTGTTGGCCATTGCTTTTAACAACTTGTTTTCTTTGGCGGGGAGGCGCCCAACAATCATGTTTCCCTTGGATAGTAAAATGGAAGGAACTGTACCACCGCATCATTGGAAGCAATCGCACAATATGGACATTTAGCCGTTCCAGTTGTGGTGGACAGCCTCACAGCGGGCCCTACTCGCACTGCATGCTTTTTTTTCCATATCAGGAGCAACTTGAGAGACTGCTCTTTGATTGTAGGTGAGCTATACATCCCAGCAACTACAACTCCCAAATGACAAAGTCAATCCCCCCCAACCCTACCAGTATTCAAATTTGGTCGTATCGGGTATTTGTGCCAAATGTGGTCCAGTGAACGAAAATACATCCTGCATCTCAGATATTTACATTACGATTCATAAGCAAAATTACAATGATGAAGTAGCAATGAAAGTAATGTTATGTTTGGGGGTCACCAAAGTATGAGGAACTGTATTAAGGGGTCGCGGCATTAGGAAGGTTGAGAAACACTGTTCTAGATCTATAAGCTGCTTTCAATACTATTGACCATGGTATGCTTCTGTTGACTATTTCCACTCCCTTGGCAGCCCCCTCTCCACCAAAGTCAACATTGACACTGAAATACAACCCCGCCTGAGCTCTGCGAGCGCAGCATTCTTCCGAGAGTGCTTGAGGACAGGGACATCCATAGGGAGACCAAGGTGCTTGTTTATAAAGCCATTGTCCTCCGAATCCTGCTATACACCTGTGAGACGTGGACTCTCTGCAGATCTCACATGCAACTCCTGGAATGATTCCATCAGCACTGCCTCCAGAAAATCCTGCAAATCTCTTGGGAAGACAAGCAGGGAAGCAAGCGTGCTGGAAGAAGCAAGGACCACCAGCATGGAAGTGATGGTCCTCCGCCATCAACCTCGTTGGACTGGCCACGTTGTCTGGATGCACTAAGACCACCGTCTCCCAAAGCAGTTGCTCTATTCCGAACCCAAAAACGGAAAACGGAATGTTGGTGGGCAGGAATAGAGATTGAAAGCCAACCTCAAAAACTCTGGCATAGACACTGAGAACTGGGAAGCCCTGGCCCTTGAGTGCTCCAGCTGGAGGTCAGCTGTGGCCAGCAGTGCTGTAGAATTGGAGGAGGCACGAATGGAGGGCAAAAGAGAGAAATGTGCCAAGAGGAAGGCGCATCAAGCCAACCCCGACCAGGACCACCTTCCACCTGGAAACCGATGCCCTCACTGCGGGAAAATATGCGGCTCCACAGCCACCTACGGACCCACCTCCTGAACACTGATCTTGGAAGACAATCCTACTCACAGAACAAAGGATCGCCTAAGTAAGTAGGTAAGTACACTCCACCTGAAAGACTGTCTCCACAGCTTGGGGTCCTCCTGGATCCATCTCTCTACATCTCAGCCCAGGGAGGGTCAGGAGTGCTTACTATCGGCTTCGGCTGATCTGCCAGCTGCACCCCTTTCTAGATTCGGAGGGCCTGAAGATGGTGGTGCACGCACTGGTAGCCTCAAGGTTGGACTTCTGCAATGCGCTTTACATTGGGCTAGAACTACCTACTATAGAGGATGCCTGCCATAGATGTGGGCGAAACGTCAGGAGAGAATGCTTCTGGAACATGACCAGGCAGCCTGGAAAACTCACAACAACCCAGTGATTCTGGCCATGAAAGCCTTTCGACAATGCTTCCTGCATATCCATTTTTTTTGCAGCCAATGGGTTTTTAAAAAGCATCTAAAGCTGTTTGTGTGCCCAAAAATAGGTTCAAAGCATCTTGTGCACCATGTTCTCAGCTGATGCCACCAAAAATAACACCGTACTTGTGATGAAAATGTGACCCACAAGGCACACTTGGCTAGAAAAATGGAGGCATGGGAGCAGCCACGAGGCTCTGTTTCCCAGGTAAGTTGTCCACAAAGGACACGGCTGAAAAGGAGAAGGATCCGAGAAGCAAGGGCGGAGGAACAAGTGCAGGCCGCGCAAGGCTACAATCCTATCTAATTTGCAAGAACACTGAGCACAACAGGGCTTCCCTCCGAGTAAACACACAAAGGAATGTTGCAGCTTAAAAGGTACTGAGAATCCACAGGGTTTCCCAGTGCTTTTAAAGTCTGCCCTTTGGAGGATTGCAGGAAAGGAAAGGACGGGAGATCGCTTGGTGCCACTCACGGCATCTACTCCTATGTTGCAGAAGTTATACAGAGCAACCTAGAACTGGAGAGAGCTGGCTTGAAACTGAGAAACATTGGACTTACTGTATTGTCGAAGGCTTTCATGGCTGGAATCACTGGGTTGTTGTAGGTTTTTCAGGCTATATGGCCATGTTCTAGAGGCATTCTCTCCTGACATTTCGCCTGCATCTATGACAAGCATCC